GTTGTGAATAAGGGGGAGTGCAGATTGGCAACCCAAAGCCCATCTGTAGACAACTGGACATCCCCTTATGGAAGGGTCTCGGGGAGGAGATGAGCCAGTCAGGGTGCAGTGTAGCAACGATGAAACATACAACTTTCCTCTAGTTCTTTAATGCTTCCTCCCCTGCCACTTTCATGATCCCAATTCCACCTTACAAATCTGGCTAGACCAGAGGATATACACTGGTACAGATAAGAGCTGGAAACACAGGGAATCCAGGACAGATAAACCTCTCAGGACCAATAATGAGAGTAGCAATACCAGGAGGGGACGGGGAAGGTGGGGTAGAAGGGGGGAACCAATCACAAAGATCTACATATAACCCCTCCCTGGGGGATGGAAAACAGGAAAATGGGTGAAGGGAGACGTCAGACAGTGTAAGACATGAAAAAATAATAATTTATAAATTATCAAGGGTTCCTGAGGGTGGGGAAAAAAATGAACCAGGAGCTGAGCCAGGGAAGGGAAGGTACTAGAGACAGGGAACAAGGGAAAGAGAAAATCCTGGCCTTTCCCTGCCTTTCACCCCCTCCAGTTTCCCTGCAATGTTTCTTTCTGGTTGAACCTAGCAGAAAACCAATCTGCAGAGCCAGTCGCTGCAAGCCACAACTGCTCAGGGAAAGGCCTGGCCTGGACCTGAGAGCAAGCTCAGCACAAGCCAACATCTGCCTTCTGGCTTCTGCCTACTTCTCTGACTCTGTCTCCTATATCTACCACCTCTCTCTAACCCATTGCCCCCTGCTTATGTTCCACCCTTTGTAATTCCTGTGTCCTCTGCCTGAGGTCCTGGTCATCACGTGTAGGCTCCTTTTTTTTTTTTATCCCTTAGTGCTCAAATCAAGATAACGATGATCATGAAGCCTCTCATGAACCTCCAAGATAAACTAACCCCTACCCACTCACAGCTGCCCTGTCATTCTCACCATCACTATTTCTTTATAGCTCTTATCACTAGATGACATGATTATGTTCACTTATTTTTTTCAACAACGATTTGAGTATCTAGTAAAAGGCAGATACCAGGGAAGGCCTTGAGATAGAACAGTGAAAAAAAACACAAAAGAGCCCCACCTTCCTAGTTCAACTCAACCACATCTCACTGCCCTGCTGACTCAAAGTGGCTCCCATGGGTTTCCGAGATTGCAACTGTTTACAAGAGTAGGAAGCCCAGTCTTTATCCCACAGAGCCGCTGGTGGTTTCAAACTGCTGACCATGAGGATCGCGGCCCAACATGTGACCACTACACCACCAGAGCTACTTCCGGAAGACTGAAAATAATGTCAGGAGGAGGTTAATGCTAGGCAGAAAATCCAGCAGGGTAGGAAATGTGCTGCCAGGGAGGTTTGCCGTTTTAAGAGGTGCTCAGAGAAGGTGTCAATGGTAAGGTGAAACTGGGGGAAAGGATGGAAGGATGTGAAGAAATGGTTCACATGGCGTACCCAGCAAAGAGCATTCTGGGCACAGGGAACGGTCAGAGCCCCATGTGCTTAGCATGTTGGAGCTGAGAGAGAGGGAGGGCAAGAGGTCTAAGAGGAGGGCTTGGGGGTGGGGTGGATCCTGTGGGGTCCCCTGGCCTATGCCGAGGACTTCACAGGGTTGAGGTGGAGGGGTGACATGAGCCGTGTCTTCCTGATCTAGTGCCTCTGTGAGAGAATTGTGACAAGTGGGCAGATTTAGCAAGCAAGTTTATTTTCTCGAAGTTTAAACCCACTGCTGTTGAGTTGAGTTGATCATCTCGAGTCCTGGGGAACCTGCAGGTAGAACTGAGTAGAACAGAGAGCACAGAGTAGAACGGCCGTGTATGGTTTCCAAAGTTGTAAATCTTTCCAGAAGCAAACGGCTGCAACTATTGCCCTCTGAGCTGCTGGTGAGTTTGACCTGCCAACTTTTTGGTTAGCAGCTGAGTACTTGAGCCACTGTGCCACCAGGACCCCCTTCTCATAGTTTATGAGGTTAGAAGTCCGAATTCAGGGCAGCGGCTCTAGGGAAAGTCTTTCTCCCTGTATTGGCTCTGTGTGTGTGTGTATATGGGGGTGGGTGGGAGGGGAGGGGATCCTTGTGTCTTTTCAGCTCATGTTCCTTGGAGATCCCAGATGACTTGACATCGCCCTTCCTTCACCTGTGTCTGCTTGCTTGCTCAATCTGCTCCAAAGAGATCAACTCTCCAGCCACTAACAGTAACACCGACAATCTGGCTGCAGAGTCCGGCTTTTAATCACTTCATTCTGGTGCTGGTGGTGGACGGCCAAGAGGAGAAGGAGTGGAGACACTTGGACAGATGAGCCTGGGACTCAGAGCTAGCGGCTGGAGAGCATACGCTTGGCAATCCGCAGGGCGTGGACGGCAAGCCAAGCCACACACAAAAAAGAGGCAACTGCCTAACCTCACTTCCAGTGGGTAAAGAGGAGATCTGAAGAGCTGATTTTAGGGAATGCCACCCTGAAGAATTGAGGAGAGGATGGGGAAGCCAGTAGGACTGAGAAAGGGCAGCCAGTGAAATAGGAAAAGGAGGCATGCGTGATGTCCTGGAAACTAGCGGAGAACACGGAGTAAGAAACATCAGCTGTGCCAAATGCTGCTGATTGACCAAGACAGAGGAGGACGGGAAGTGACTGCCTGATGTGACCACCCAGAGGGTATCTGTGACCTTCGCAGCCACTGGGCAATGGAGTGGAGGAGTTGAGAGTCTGAGTGGAGTGTCCTCACCAGGGACTGGGAGGGGAGGAGACTGCACATGCAGACAACTCGATCTGCGTGCTGATGGTCTCTCTCGACACGAGCCTGTGAGCGCCCCAAGAGCAAGGACGTTGGGGTATACAAGGAACTCATTCATTTCTTTATCTCCAGTGCCTGGCACACTGCATTTGTTGAATCAACACTGAGCATTAGACCAGGCAATATCTCCTTCAAGTGCCCAGATAAAATAAAATCCAACAAACCAAAACCCAAACCCGCTTTACCATTGGGTTCATTCCAACTCATGGCAACCCCACGTGTGGGGAGCCCATACTTGCCTAGTTTGTTTACATCCACAAAGAACATAGAGAAAAGAAAGGTCTGTACTGGATTCCTCTGGTTCCTTCCAGCTCTAAAATTCCATGATTCTGTGACTTGTTCTGTCCAACACACTTGCACAGAGACAGCAATTTAATTAGTTGTTTGGGCAATGGTGTGGCTGGAATAAGGGTTTCATTTAGACAGGTAACAAATACTTCTTGCGTGCCTACGATACATTGTCCCATTAATAGGTGCAAAAACAGAGGAGCTGGGGCGAGGAGAGGGGTGCTCAGGAAATGTGATGGGAGCCTCCTCCTGCTAAAGTTCCAGGAGGCCCAGGGCGCACCAATGAGGTTGGAGCTGCTGGGCTTGCCATAGGAGGGAAGAGGCCCTGGGTGGGCCTTTCACAGCTGCTGCAGTGAAAAGAGAGACCGAGAGGCCTTCTCCCATCTGCTTCTCCCTGAGGCCGTCGGGGCAGTCACAAACAGCAGGAGGAGAGAAAGAGGTGGTTTGGGGTCCACCCTGCCACAGGGCTGTCACATTCAGGCCCGGAGGCTTCTGCTGTGCTGAATATAGTCTTACAGGTGAGCCCCATGTTTTCCTTGTGTGAGCTCTTCTGGCTCTCCTGTGGCCCTGGGAGGCAGAGCATTCTGAAGCTCAGAGCAGGGGGGCTACTGTAGGTCCGGTCCCAGACCACTGGAAGAAAGTGACTATTGCAGCAAAGTGAGTTACACCATTTCTCTTTGGGTTTCCCAATACGTACAGAAATTAACACTATCCTATTGAGTCTATTGGGTGCACAATAGTATTGTGAAAACCATTTGATATACTGTGAGAATGACCAAAATGACAGTGACATCAAGAGAGCACACACTGTTGGGAAAAACGGGGCCCGGAGACTCCCGTAACACAGAGTTTGCTACAAATCTTTAATTTGTAAAAGAAAATCTGCAACCCTCAATATCTGCGAGGTTTCCATAAAGCAAAGTGCAGCAAAGCAAAGCACAATGAAACCAAGCGTGAAGTGCCCTGGTGTTGTGGGTGATGCGGACAGGGGACTGCTAACCACAGGTGGGCAGTTCAAAACCACCAGCCGCTCTGCAGCAAAAAGATGAGGCCTTCAACTCTGTCCTTTAGGGCCGCCATGAGTCGAGCTTTGAGTCTATGGTAGTGCGCTTGGGCTGGGGTTAGCCTGAGTAAACGCCTGCAGTAGAGGGCGGAGCCAGGTTATGGACCTAGTCCGAGGTCCCGACTCCACATGTCTGCCCCAAAATACCAGGAAAAGCATGCCTTTATGCAATCCATGCCTCGATTAAATAATCTTCACTTGATTACCACTTAGTTTAGCTGCAACAGGTGCCTGCTTCCCACGTGTAAAATAGGGAGGAAAATGCCCCCACCCTGTTAGAGGTTTCCGCAGTTTCAAGGGCGTAATTCCCCATGGAATAATCCGGTCATTCCCCCTTTTCCTCAAGAGAAGAAGCAGTGAGAGACCAGAGGTCAAAGGGCCAGGGTGAGGGTAGGGGTGGGGTGGCTGTGGGTCTAATGAGGGTAGGAGTGGGTCTAATGGCAGGATTTAGCTGGCTTTGGAGAAATGTGCATGGCTGTGTAGTGGGTTCCCTTTTCAGCTGCTAACCACAAAGTCAGCAGTTCAAAACCACCAGGCCCTATGAGGGAGAAAGACAAACGTTTTTACTTCCTTAAACAGTTACAGTCTCGGAAACCCACCGAAAGCAGATATGAGTCCGAATCACTGGATGGCAGGGAGGGTTTGTTTGTTGTTTTCAGTTTAGGGAGATTTGCAGGATTTGCCACTCCAGAACTACATCCCCCAGCAACCCTTTCGCGGCTCCGACGGTGGCTGGGACGAGGCGCATGCGCCAAGTGCCGCCCCGCCCAGTCTCCAGGACACAGCGTGAACCGGTGCTCCTCAGAGAGCCCGTCGGTCCAGGCGCTGCCGCGGCGGCGGACGTTCCCTCCGCTCCTCCTCCCCGGTGGCCGGAGCAGGCTCAGTTGTGCCGTAGCCCTGGCCAGTGCTATGATCCGGCCGGAGCTCTCCACGTCCTACCAGGAGGTACACGGGACTGGGGGACGGAAGCAAAGTTTCTCGTGCGGCGGCCCCGGGGGTCCGGCGCTCGGGCGGGTGTGGTGTGAGGCCGGCGCGGTCGCCGGCTGCTGGGAGTTCGTCCCGCGGAGCAGCGGCTGTGCCCGGAGGAGGTGGGGTGGCCGGGCGGCGCTGCTCGGCCGAGGGATGGGGTCCCGGAGCCGCGCGCGACCCGTAAGCAGCAGGTGAAGGCTGGACGCGGGGGCTCAGTCTGCAGCGCGGCCGCCGGAGGGGGAGCCCCGCGGGCTCTGCAACAAGTGGCAGCGCCCGTGCTCGCGCCCGCCCAGCGCTTCGGACTCGCGGTCAGCCCCAGCCCCAGCCCCAGCCCCGCCACCCCTACACGGCCTGCGGCCCCCGCTGGCCGACGGCCCGGATCGCTGCAGCCTGTTTTGCTGGCCGCCTGACTTTGGAAGAGTGCGCGTCCCCACTCCCCTGCCTTGCTCTCCAGTCTCACCTCCTCCCACCACTCGACTATCACTTTCCAGCGAGTTCTTTGTCTCTTATCTGCCCAGAACTACACACTTTCCCCTCGACCAGCGCTTCCTCCGGGTTTTTCTCCACTCGGTTACTGCCCCCGCTCCCCTCTCAGCCCCCAATCTTGCTATGGGTAAGAGCCTTCCTTGGGCCTCCCACCGCGCCCCCCTCACTTGCCAACTCCAGGCAGATCCATGGCCGCAGCCCTTCTCCATTTTGTGTCTTTGTTGCTGCCCTAACCCTGAGTGAGATCCAGCTGTGTTAACTCTCTCAGGCTTCCCCACGCGCTCTGCAGATCCAGCTTTAAGGTGACTTAGTAGTTATACATTGAACTGCAATGCACAAGGTCGTCAGTTCGAAACCACCGCCACCCACATTAGCAAGATGAATGAGTTACAGTCTCAGCAATTCACAGGGGCAGTTCCACCTGTTCCTATATAGTCACTATGCGTCAGCATTGACTCGATGGCAGTGAGTTTTGGAATTTTGATCTGGGAGCATTGGGGTCTTACATGGCCTGCATGCTGCCCTTGGTCTACCCAGTGTTCAAAGCTCGTTCAGGGCTGTTAACTGTAGCTCCTGTCTCTGTTGCCATCCCTTCAGCTATCCAGGCTCTGGCCACAGTGGAAACTCACCATTTAAAAATGTTGTTCTTGCTTTTCCACCTCAGTGCATGTGCTCACACCACTTCTTTACCCCTTCCCAGACGCCGTTGATTAAATCCATGGCTGTTGAGTTGATTGCCACTCATGATAGCTCCATAGGGGCTCCTTAGCTGTAATCTTTACAGAAACAGGCTGCCAGGCCTTTCTTCCACCCAACTGCCACGTGTTCATGAACTTGTGGTCATAAGGTTCGCAGCCAGTGGCTTGTTGCCACCAGGGGACTTCTTCCATTGGTCAAACCACGCCTTCCCCACTGCAAATATTCAAGGACCATCTCAAGTCCCACACGAACCATAAAGACTAACTCCCCAGACCAGTCTAGCATTGTCTTCCGCCTCATAGGAATATGCTGCTTTCTGTCTTGATCAATAGTTATTGGTGTCCAGTGGTGGGGCCTTTTGTGGTTATGACACATTGAAGCGGAGTGATGTGCACTGACGTGGCTGAGTCTCACAGGAGAAGTTGGGAAGCAGAGTTGAAAATGGATGAGGTTCACCGTGCTTGTTTTAGTTGGGCCTCAGTGGGAATCTGGCTTGGACACAGGTCTCTATTTCTCCTCGTATCCCTCTGCTCTCTTTATTCGAAAGGAGACTGATGGATTTTAACCGGTGATGTGGGAATGCTGGGAAAGGGGATGTGTCGAGTCTTTCACTCATAACGTTGTAGGGATTAGAGCACAGTGGGTAAATACGAGGACTTTGCCATCTGTGTCTTTTTTCAAGTTAGCTTCTCTCTTCTTCATCTGAAAAACCAAAATATTAAGTCCCTTTCCCATAGGGTCCTTAAGTGAGAGGGTTAGATGAGCTGTGGAGAGTGTTTAGTTCAGTGCCTCACAAACAAACAAACAAACAACAACCCACCAAACTCACTGCCATCGACTTGTTTCCAAGTCCTAGTGACCCTAGAACAGGGTAGAACTGCTCCTGCGAGCTTCTGAGATGGGAACTCTTCATGAGGACGCCTGAAGAGTAGCTGGGGAGCTGATGGTTTTGAACTGCTGACCATGCAGTTAGCTGCCTAAGGTGTAACCACTATGTCACCAGGTCTCCTAGTTCAGGACTCTCCCTGCCAAACTCACTGTCATGCAGTCAGCGCTCTACCGACCCCCTGTGGGTTTCCGAGATGGTAATTGTTTCTAGGAGTAGAAAGCCCAGTGTTTCTCCTGTGGAACTGCTGGTTTTGAACTGCTGACCCTGCGGATCACAGCCCAACATGTAACCACTACACCACCAGGGTTCCTAGCAGGCAGCAATTTCTCACGGAATGGTAGCTCTTGGTACAGCTCTGTGGCTGGCTCCAGCTGCAAGGAAGCCTTGAGGCTCTGATCTAGTGGGGCCATGTCTCTCACTCTTTCACTAGGAGCTTGCATGTCTCCTCACCAAACAGCTCCTGAAATTGGTGGTCATCCACTTGCAAGGGTGAGTCAGGGGCAGAGTCGCTTGCTCTGTAAGGCCACTCTCACAACAGAAGTCACTGGAAGGGTCCCCGCTCCTTGCTTCCCAAGGGAACTTGCTCAGAACTTCGTCTCTTGCTTTCTCCTGAGAAAGAATGCTGCCCAGAGAGTTCTTGCCTGGATCGTCCCGAGAGTAGATATTGCTTGGATCCATTTCTTGGCTGTGGGCAGAGAGGTGTGCAGAAAATGTGTGCGCCCCTGGCCGGGAGCAAGCAAGGAGGTGGGCTCACTGTGACCTTGAGAACCGGGAGAGGAAAAGAATTGGGAGAAGAGGGTGCTGTTGCCTAGGCTGCACTGATCCTGAGAGAATGGGTGTCAGAGAGCCCTGGCCATTCCCAGCACTAAAATCCTGACACTAGCGATGTGTGGAGCCTCTAATCACCTCTCCCTTGAGCCAGCACTGGGGGCAACTTAGCTGTATACCTGTATCTGAGGCCTGTATCTCATGGGCCTTCTCCAGCCTCCCACCGCTCCCCCATGGGTTTTTCTTTTCCTTATTGCTTGGAGGGTTTTAACTGGATTCTAAGGGACAGGAGTGGAGGTATGGAAGGGAAAAGAAAGATGGAAGAATAATAGATGCATCAGAGCTTTGTTTTAGCCCAAATCTCTTGGAGGTGAATTAACATACATTCATTTATTTTGTTGTCATTAATGAGACTATACACAGCAAAACATACAGCAGTTTCTAGGTGTACAATTTGGTGACATCGATTACATTCTTAGGGTTGTGAAGCCATTCTTCTCTGCGTTGTTCCTCCCCCATTAACATAAACTCACTGCACTCTAAGGCTCCTATCTAATCTTTCATGTTGCTGTTGTCACTTCCATCCCATATAATAGCGCTTAAAAGCCTATAATGATCAGGTGGACCTTCTTACTAGTTAAAATAAACAATTGCTTGGTTTTAAGGTCTGTCAGGTGATGTTTTTGGCTTAGGGCTTAAAGATGGTCCCAGTATAACAGTTCCAGAAAGTAGAGAGTTTATGTGAATTTGAAATTCTGTTATACATTCCTGCCCACCCCCACCCCCCTTTGATTAGGATTCTTCTATGCAATCTTAGATCAAAATGTCCAATAATGGTAGCCCGGTGGGCACCATCCAGTTCTGGTCTCACGGCAAAGGTGACAGTTGTTCTCTGTTGTTCCAGGTGAATAGAGACCAATTGTACCTTGGATGGCCTAGCTTTCAAGGCAGTGCGCATTGCACTAGCCCATAGAATGGAAGCACTCAACATGTTTGTAGGCCAGTTGACTGAGATATTCCGTGAAATCATGATCCCAGACCTTGGAGGTGAATTTTTAGTGAAAACGTCTTGAGACTCTAAGCACTGATGCTGTGAGCCTAAGGAAACACTTGGGAACTAGCCCCTCTCTCACTTCAGTGATAGCTCTGGACTTGACCTTGCCTGCCTGCCTTCCCATTTTACGGAGGCTTGAGACACATCCCCTCAGCTTTCCTCAGCAGTATTCTTTCTCCATTTGAAAGAAAAGGGTGAATTCGCCTGCTCCCAGGCTGCTCATTAGCATCTGCCGCTGCACTAGACTGCCTTCTCCACTGGATTCTGCCCTTTGCAGCCGAGTCAGTGGACTGTGGCTGGCGTTTGGAGAGCTCAGGAATGGGCATTATTGTGCCCTCTGCTCTCTGCACACCCTGGGTGGCAGTTCTTTGGGAAGGGACTACGGCTAGGGGCTTTGGAGCTCCACCAATGTGGATTTGACTCCTAATGTCCTCTCCAGGCTCTGGGAGACATTAGTCCTTGTCTGACATCACTTGGCTTTTCTGGGTTTCTGTGTTCTCCTCCGTAGAACTGGGAGAACAGACCTTGAGACGATGGCGTGAGTAGCAGCTTCTGCTTTCTCACCCCTTCTGGAAAGACGAAGCGGACGGCGCTGACTTGCTTGTGCCCCTTTGTTTCTCCAGCTGAATGAGGAGTTGGACCAGGTGGTTGAGAACTCTGAGCAAGCAGACGAGCGGGACAAGAAGCCGGTCAGAATCGAGGGTGTCGTGCCAGGTGAGTGGACTCTGTGCTAGTACTGATGCTGCAGCCGGAGGGCCCCCGATGGGCCTCTTGCAAACTAGTCGTGCCTTTGGGAAAGAAGGGAGCCCCTACCTGTACCCTGGTGTCGGATCTCAGGCACTGCCCTAGTTTTAAAGCTATACATATTTAACCAGCCCTAGGACAGAGGAGACTTCCAGGCCAGTGTCTGCTTTTATGTAACCCAGTTTGGGTTTAGCCCTGAGATTACATCTTTGGATACTGCAGCAAGGATTTTGGGGCGTCTGCTTTTCCCATCTCCTTCCCTAGGAGGCTGCTTGCAGGGGTGCCTCTAATGTCGGGGTCACTTTCCAGAGCCCTATGGGAGCCCCACCTCCTGACTCCAGGCCTCTAGCATTGCTGCTTAGCTGGGTGAGCAGGGTCCATGCTATCCATTCTGTCATTGGCATCTCACAGGGCCTCAGCAGCATTCAGCACCGTGGGCCACTTCTTTCTCCTGGATATGCTCTGGTTCCTTAGCATTGACTCCTCCGGACACTCCTAGACTCCTGTGCAGCCAGTCACCTTCCAGCTCTTGGCTGTAAAATCATCGTGCCCCTTCTTTCACTCTCTCCTCTTTTCCTGGGCAGAACCTTCCAGGCCCCTAATGAGTCACTGCCAGCTCACCTCTAGTTTACCAACTCCAGACCTATATATGCTGTATCCAAGGGGGCTTCAAAAAGTTTGTGGAAAAACTCCATTATCTTTTAATTCCACTTCTCCACAAACTTTTTGAAGCCCCTTCTAGACCCAGCTGCCCACGTGATTGCACTGCCTGAGTATCTCAAAATCCAAACCCAACCCACTGCAGTCTAGGAGATTCTGACTCATAGCAATCCCATAGGACAGAGTAGCACCACTACGTAGGGTTTCTGAAACTGTAAATCTCTACCGGAGCTCACAACCTCCTCTTTCTCCTACAGGGTGGTTGGTGGGTTTGAACGGCCAGCGTTGAGCGTAGCAGCCCAGTGTTTAACCCATTGTGCTGCTCGGGATATTTTAGATGTCTCCAAGGTGTCCTAAACTCCTCATGTGCAAAAGTGATCCACTCCCGGCTTGGTCTTTGTGATAGCTTAAATTTTGTCCCTTGGACAGTTATGTTAAAATCCTAACTCTCCTTTACCTGTAAAGCATGACCTCTTTGGTGTGAGTTAGGTCACAGCCTCGCCCTATGACAAGGCCTTGTAGGCATATCCCACCTTCTTTGCTAACTGTGGAGGTGACCATGAATCCAATTCCTACCTCACAATGGGTCTAGTCCTGACCTTCATCCTCCTCTCTGGTTGTGAGGAACTCCTAGCAGCATTCTCTCATCCTCAGCTGCCTCGGGTAAGAAATCCACAGGATTCTTCCACTTCAGACCTGCTGGCTCTTTTTCTCTCATCCCTAGCCACCCTAGTCCAGAGCAAGGTGTTCTTTCCTCCACCTAGAAGTTCCACTGCATTCCAAATTACTGCTTTCTCTCACTTTTTACTGTGAAATTAGATAAAGGTTTACAGAGCAGACCAAACAAGTTTCAACAATTCATGCGCCATTTGATTCAACTCATCCTCTCGATCACTTACCCCCATTTCCTCCCCAAGTTTCCTCCTATTCTTAGCTCTCTCTGTGTTGCCGGGGTAAATAGCTTTTTGATCCTAAATGGCTGATTATTCTAATTTGGAGGTGAATTCACCCCTGGGACCTGATAGGTAAGAGCCATAGCCTTAGGGGCTCCCTGTGAACCTTTATTTTCTAGAACCTTAAGTGGCCTGGAAAGTGCCTCTGAGGCTCAGTCAGTGTTAGCCCTCGTGAGCTCCTGTCCTAGGGGCTCTGATCATTATCTGGCCCTGATAAAACTACCTCCGGCCTCAGGAAGCTTAGACAGTATCTGTCCTCATCCCAGCCCACAGCCTAATACCTGGTGAGTGGTGGTATGACTAAAACATCGAGAGCACTCTATGAACCAGGGAATGCCTGGAGCTACAGAAGAGGAAGCCCCTCCCCTGGAGCCCAGGGCCCGATTTGGACTTCTGCCAGCCAAACTGACAGACAGTAAATTTCTGTTCCTTAAAACCACCCCTTCAGGGTGTTTTTGTTTCAGCAGCACTAAGACTCACCAGCCCTCTTAGGATGCTCACTCACTCTGAGAGTGGCGCTGCCAGTCATCCAGTTGAACCTTGGAGTCACTCTTCATTGCTTCCTCCCCTACTACCACCCCCCCTACCCTTCAGCAGCTCTGACTTTAATTTGAGCCTCCTTCCCTTCCCACAGGGCCTTGTGGTTTTATTCCCCTCCCTGGAATTCTTTTCCCTTTGCCACCTAGTTAATGTCTAATCAGTTCTTCAACTCTCCCCTCCCACATGTCTCTATAAAACTCCTTGGTTGGATGATTCCTCACCCTGCACCACTCTGTCATTTGTAGCCTACTTGTTGTTAGGTACCATCAAGTCGGCTCTGACCCATAGCGACCTTATGTACAGCAGAATGAAACACTGCACAGTCCGATCCCACGCCACCCTCACAATTGTTCCTATGCCTGAGCCCACTGATTCGGTCACTGCGTCAGGCCATCTCATCAAGGGACCTTCTTTTTCACCCCCTCCACTTTACCAAACATGATGTCCTTCTCCCACTACGCCACGTATAGCTAAAATCAGAAGGACAGACACTCCATCACAAGCCTTGGAAGGGAGGTCTTAGGGAATTCGGAACCCTTCTCCGTTGCTGGCGGGAATGTAAGATGGCTCTGCTGCTTTGGAGAGGGGCCTGGCAGGTCCTCAGAGAGTTAAGACCTATCCCAAGACTGTGGCCCTTTGATACGCTTCAGCCTGGAACAGACCTCAGCCCTGTGGCTCAACTTTCAAGTTAGACACGTGTTAGACAGGGAGGAGCACACTCCCTAGAACAGCCACTTGGCCAGGGATACAGCTCAGAAGGCAGGAAGGTACGTAAACTTAGGGAGGAAGTAGGGAGTGTCACTTTGTGAGGATTGCAATCAGTGTCACAAAACAATGTGTGTAAAACCAACTTAGCCTGTAAACTGTCACCCACATCACAATAGAAAGATTGAAAACCCAAACCTTAAGCATAGAGCTAACCCAGAAAATCTACTCCTCTTTATATCCCCAAATCCCCTGCCATCGAGCCTATAACGACTCACTGTGACCATTTAGGACAAGATAAGCCTGCCCTTTCAGGTTTCCCAGGCGGTAACTATGGGAACAGAAAACATCACAGAGTGGCTGGGTTCGAACTGCTGACCTGGCAGTTAACAGCCCAAAGCATAACCCACTAGCCACCAGGACACAAGAGAAAGAAAAATACATGTCCTCATACAAAAGTCTGTACAAGAATGTGTACAGCTGCATTATTCATTATAGCCAAAAGGCAGGAAGAACCCACATATCCGTGAACAGTGAATTGATAAGTAAAATGTGTGATGTTCATGTAATTGAATATTATTAGGCAATGGAAAGAGATGAAGTATTGATACATGCTACAGCATGGACGGAACCTTGAAAGCATGTTCAGTGAAAGACACTGGGCTATCTAGCAGGGAAGTAACAAAGTCCACTTGGAAAAAGCACACCAGCCTGAATGATCACAAGGTGTTGACGGGATCAGGTATCAGAAGACCCCAAACAAACAATTATATCAAGACAAAAGGGGGTCTCAGAGTGGAGACCCGAAGCCCATCTGTAGACAATTGAACAGCCCCCCACAGAAGGGTCACAAGGAAGGGACGAGTCAGCCAGGGTGCAGTATAGCACCGAGGAAACACAGAACATCTCTTTAGTTCTTTAATGCTCCCCCCGCCCCCCCCCACTATCATGACCCCAGTTCTACTTTACAAATCTGGCTAGACTAGAGCATGTACACTGGTACAGATAAGAGCTTTCAACACAAGGAATCCAGGACAGATAAACTCCTCCAGAACAGTAATGGGAGTAGCAATACCATGAGGGTAGAGAGAAGAGCGGGTGGGGGTGGTGGGGAACCGATGGCAATGATAGATGTTTAAATCACACACACCCCTCCAGAGGGAAGAATAACAGAAATGTGGGTGAAGGGAGATAGCGGATGGTATAAGATATGAAAATAAAAATCTATAATTTATCAAGGGTTTAGAGCGGAGGGAGAGGTAAAAAAGAGGAACTGATAGTAGAAGTAGAACTGAAGTAGAAAGAAAATGTTTTGGAAAGGATGATGGCAACATATGTACAAATGTGCTTGATACAATTGATGTATCATTTGATATAATTGCTATAAGAGCCCCTAATAAAATGATTTATTAAAAAAAAAAGACACCAGACACAAAAGGTTACATATAAGATTCACAGAGACAGAACACAGACCAGTGGGTGCCAAGGCCTGGGAGAGCGGGGCGACTGGCTTTTTTGGGGGTGAAGAAATTGTTCTGGAATTAGACAGTGGTAATGGTTATATAACCTTGTGGATATACTAAAACCACTGAATATCACTTTATTTAAAAAAATTTTTTTAAATCGTTTTATTAGGGGCTCATACAACTCGCATCCCAATCCATACATACATCAATTGTGTAAAGCGCATTTGTACATTCATTGCCCTCATCATTCTCAAAACATTTCCTCTCCACTTAAGCCCCCAGCATCAGGTCCTCATTTTTCCCTCCCTCCCTGCTGCCCCCTCCCTCATGAGCCCTTGATAATTTATAAATTGGTATTTTGTCATATCTTGTCCTATCCGATGTCTCCCTTCACCCACTTTTCTGTTGTCCATCCCCCAGGGAGGAGGTCACATATAGTTCCTTGTCATCGGTTCCCTCTTTCCAACCCACTCTCCCTCTACCCTCTCAGTATTGCCACTCACACCATTGGTCCTGAAGGGATCATCCGCCCTGGATTCCCTGTCTGAATATCACTTTTAAAGGGTAAATTATATCTCAAAAAATAAAGCAATAAAGCCACATCGTAAAAAAGTGAGAGAGAGAAAGAAGAGCCATGCCTTCCTTGTCATCCGAATGCATACCAGCCCAGCTCTCGGTGAGGGACGCTCCTAGGGGGATGGCAAACACCCCCCCCACCCCACCCACCCCCGTTTGAATAAAGAAACCACTGTGGGAGAGGGATCCGTTTCTTCTGGAACGCCAGCTGCATGTCATTAGATTCCTGTTACTGCTCCACAGTTACCTAGCCTCTATCTTTTTCTCAGTGTTTTTCTTCTGATTGATTGATTTCTGCTCATTGATCTTTAGTTCACAGATTTTTTTCTGCTGCCGTCTGTATATCAGGAAACCTCTCCACCAGTGCATTTTAACATTTCACCTATTTTTTTTTTTGGTTCTAGAATTCCAGCTTGGTCTTTTTTGTAGTTTCTATTTCCTTCTTCTTCTTACTATTTTTTAATCATTTTCCTGGTAGCTCTTACAGATATCATGACATTCCACAGTTCAATCACATCAAGGAGTATTGTACAATTCCTACCACATAGTTTCAAAACATTTTTTTTATTCTTGAACTCCTTGATATCAGCTCCCTTTGTCTCCTCCCTCCCCCCAGGAACCCATATTTATTTATTTTTCCATAATAGGTTGTTTATGTTTTCCATATCTTACACAGTCTATTATGCCCATTCACATACAGTTCTGTTGTTCGCATCCTTGGAGGGGGCCATACGGTCATCAGTGCTGCCAGCTCCCCGTTTCTCCACTTCCTCCCTTCCTCTCTCTTCCCTTACTCTCAGGGAACCATTACTCCTTTATTTATCTTGACTTTCATGTACCAAGGGATCTTAAATATACTAATGAACATACATAAATGTAACATGATTAATGAGGTTAAACAAATAAAATCCATAATAGTAAGGGGGAAATATTAAAGAACTAGAGGAAAGCTTTGTGCTTCATCAACGTCATACTGCACCCTGGGTTTATCATCCCTTCCACGTAGTCTTTCTGAGAGGACTGTCCAATGATCTTACAGGTGGGTTTTGGATCTCCGCTACACCCACCCCCCTTCACCTCGATTCGCTTGCGTGCCTTTGACGTTTCTGTTTCTTGTTGCGGTTCTCCTCTGGCCATTCCTTATTCCTGGTTCATCTTGGCATAGGTGGCTTCAGACGGCAGATTTCTTCTTGAACATGACTCATATTTTCTTTGCATGTCAGTGGTTTGTACTGGACATGACACTCTAAATGATACATTATAGAGATTCTGAGTTTTTTCCTCTAGATTTTGTTGTATTCCTCTAAAGAGGGAGCTAATTTGCCTGTATTCAAACTCCATACTCTTATCTCGCCTGTATTGGCAGCAGCTGGGATGTCTGCTCGGGTTTTTCCAGTTTCAGCTGCTTTTTTCTTGGTGCCCGGGCTCTTTAGGAGCCTTATCTGTCCAAAGGAATGGCTGATGGGTTTGAACCACCTACCTTTCAGTTCGTAACCGACCACGTACTATGGTGCCGCCAGGGCTCCTTCAGATGAGGAGTAGGAAATGCAAATGTGAAAGGTGCTAGGGAAGAGAAGGGCACCCTGGAAGAGCAGAGGGTTGTATCGTAGAGCTGGAGTGGGGGGCTATAGGCAGGGAGAGTGGAGGGGGGACTATAAGGCCAGAGAGGTGGGTGGAGGCTTGCTCATTGGCAGGATTGTAACTGTCTCTCCCATTAGAAAGTAAGCTCCTTAAACACAGAAATAAATGGGTCTCCTTCAGCTGTGTCCCCTGCCCGTAGTCTCTGTGGGGTAAATGCTTATAGGGGCCGTTTGCCATGGTCTTGAGGGGTTGCTTGGGCATATGGGTGGTCTCACCTTCTGGGAAGTGTCCAGCGTGGGTTGTGCTCATCTCTGGCTGCACTCCTCCCTGTGCTTGGGTCCACACGGATGTTGGTGGTGATGTTGACCTTCAGCCCTGGACAGCGAGTCCGCCTCTAGCAGCATCCGCTTCAGCAAGGCCTGCCTGAAGAACGTCTTCTCCGTCCTCCTCATCTTCATCTACCTGCTGCTCATGGCTGTGGCCGTCTTCCTGGTCTACCAGACCATCACGGACTTCCGTGAGAAACTCAAGCACCCCGTCATGTCCGTGTCTTACAAGGAGGTGGACCGCTATGATGCCCCAGGTAAATCCCAGCCTGGTCCCAGAGGTGTCTCGGCCTCCTCAGCACAGTGCAGGGTGCTGTGGGCAGGGCGGGCATGGAGTGGAGTGCTGTGTAGAGCACGGCCCAAGCAGCTCCTGGTCGTTCTAGGGTGGGGTGTGTGCCAAGGACAGGGCATTTGGGGGGGGGGGGGTGTCACAGCAGGACATCGGTCAAGGAAAATGAGGTGGGGGTAGGATTGGGGCTGAGCCTTGAAAAGTGGAGAGGTGGAAGAGTGCTCTGTGAGCACAGGGGAGTGCAGAGAGGCAGAGGGCTCCTGGGAGAAGGCGGCCAGCCTGCCTGGAGCTTGCAGTGCAGAGAGGAGAAGAAGTGTGTGCTGTACGGGCTCTGAAACTGCGCTGTGGGCCCCCGGGGCTGCTGTGTCCTGGACCCCGGTGGGTGTGCGGAGGAGCAGTTTGCCTCTTCCTCTAGACCAGGGCGTCGTGACCCCTTCTTCCCCCTCCTCTACAGCCTCCTGGGAGGTCCTGAACAGAGGTTGTAGGTGGGGGGAACAAACTTGGGATATGATGGTTAGGAATGTGCACAAGGATGTGGACTTCTGCCATGTACTGTCCTTGCTTGTCCCCCAGGTATTGCTCTGTACCCCGGCCAGGCTCAGTTGCTCAGCTGTAAGCACCACTATGAGGTCATTCCTCCTCTGAGGAGCCCCGGCCAGCCGGGAGACATGAACTGTACCACCCAGAGGATCAACTACACAGACCCTTTCTCCAATCAGACAGTGGTAAGTCCTGTCTCCGTGAGCCAGGCCTAGGCCACATGCTCTGCCCACCTTGCATTGAAGGCCCAAGGCTGTCCCAGAGTTCCTTGTGCCCCACCTTCTTTGTCCCAGTGGGCCTCCTCACACTTCAGTCTGTGGGTCCTGAACCCAAGCAGACCTGAGGGTATGACAGAGACTTGACCTTGACTTTCATGCCCAATCTCAAGAGGGAATCCGGAGGCTATCTGCCTGCCCTGAGTGCCCTCAGACTTCCTGATAATGTGATCCTATCCTGTTCTTGACCCCAGGATGACCTCGCTAAAGGGCAGGCAGAGTGGTTCTCACTGTCTCTCTCTCTCTCTCTCTCTCTCTCTCTCTCTCTCTCTCTCTCTCTCACACACACACACACACACACACACACACACACACACTCACTCACTCAGTAATGTTTGCAGATCAGAGAGAGGAAGGGGAGCTTTGTAGGCCGAGGACACACTACACCAAGCCCTACATGCCTGGGGTGTCGTGCTGTAGAAGCGGACTTTTCGATTGGGTGATAGGGAGCTAGTAATGGAGGGTAAGTCTCTGGAACAGTTAATGCGCTTGTCAGTTTGAGTTCCCCAGGAGCACCTCAAAAAACAGCTGTCAAGCTTCTTCCCCCAACCAGCCACTGAAATCCTGTGGAGCAGGGTTCTTCTCTGCCACACATGGGACAACTTGTTCAATGTGTTCTAAGTACCACCAGTGAACCATAAGTTTTGAGAAGTGTCAAATCTAAGTAGCAGAATGGATCAGAGTGTTGGAGTTGAAAAGTTATAGAAAACCCACGGTCCAAATCCAATGGACACAGACACATCATCTGGACAAGGGAGGCCACTAACATGAGGTTAAAATGGGTTTGTTGAGATAAACAATGCTTTAAAAAGGGCCTGGGAGGGCAAAGGAAACTGTCATACACGCATGATTGGTGGCAGCTCAATAGCATCACAATTACAGATGGGCCTATAGAAGCAGGAACGGGACCACGATGGGGACATGCACATTGTTAGATAGAAGGGTTTCCGAGACCCCGAAGAAACAGTAATGGGAGTAACGATTCCTTGGGGGGTGGGGAGATGCTGATGGCAGTGCTGACTGTATAGCCCCCCTTGAGGGGAACGAATAGCAGAATGGTAGGTGAGCAGATAGATTGGATGGTTTAAGATAATGTAATAATAATAATAATAATAATAATAATAATAATATATAATAAGGGTTCATGGGGGTGGTAGGCTGGGGGAGAGAGGGAGGGGATAAAGAGCTGATATCAAAGAATTCAAGAAGATAGAAAATGTTTTGAAAATGATGGTGGTAGCAACTGTACAACTATGCTTGATCTGATTAAATTATGAATTGTTATAATATCTGTAAGAGCTCCTAATAAAATGATTTTTTAAAAAAGAGATTGGGCCCAAGGCCTTTTGACCAAGGTAGTTAGGGTGACTGTGAGACCCCCTGTACTGTTCCTATGAGGTGACCTCCTTCTAGGACACACCTCGGCAAGTCCCTAAGACAGAGACGACCCTTCCTGGGCTGGCTGGAGATGGGAGGGGGCAGTCCTCTCCCCAAGACACTCTGCCTGAGGGCAAGAGTATCTGCAGCCGTGGTTCAAGATCTGAAAGCATTGGGACCCTTAATTTCTGTGCACTGTAATCTTGATGGGAGGGAAATGGAAGCTAATTAAAAAAAAAAAAAGACATTTCCAAATGTTCAGGAGAGCAGATATACAGTGGGTGCTGTCTGATCCCCTCCACTCCTGTGCCCAGCACCTGACTGATGCCCCGAGCCGCCGCCCTTACCTCTCCCAACTTGCGGCGTCCTCATCCTCGGGTGCCCACGCTCCTCTGCTCCCTCCCACTGAGATGTGCTCCAATCAGAGGTGTAGCTCCCAAACCTCCTTGTGCCCTCGTAGTTGTTACCAACTTTAACTAAACAGGATGCAAACTTGTGATATAGGAGCTCAAATGAAGGGTGGTTCCCATGGGAGCAGACTTTCATGCCGCTGTGGGTGATGGGCAGTCTTCAAGAGATGGCTCATCTCCCCTCCCCTCCCGGTGTGCTGAGCTGGAGGAGGAGTAAGACAGGAGCAGCAGAACTCCATTTGGGAAAGAAATCAAGGTGTTCTACTCTGGTGCCCCCCCGGCCCTCCTCAACCCCCAGCCTTGTCCTCCCGGAGCATCCTCCTCGCCGGTTCTCCTCTGTGGCCCCTGTCTGCAGCAGGTGTTAGCAAGTCTGCTCCTTGGGGCTACACAGCCCTTCCTGCACACAGCTTGACTTGGTTTGGGGTTGCTAGAGGGAGCCGTCACAGACATGGGGGTTTGCTCTCTTCCTCCACCACCTCTGCTCACGGTTAGGCTGCTTCAGAGACAGCGGCTTTCTGCTGCTTGCATGGAGCCCTGTGTGTGGAAAGGCCTGTGGTCAGGGCTCTCAACTGCTCGGATTTCTAAACTCTTCATAGGCTCACCGGTTGTCTGTTCTTCTAGACCCCTCTCTCGTGCTCTCCAGTTCCCAGGTACTTGGCTTTCAGACAAGGGTCAGGGCCTGGATTCCGTCTTTAGCGTCCACATCTGTTTCTGAACTTTGCACCATTGGCCCTGATATTGAGCTAAGGCCTTGTTTTAGGTTTTTGTTATCATAGCCCACTAGCCCCAGATTTACCAATTACATACCAGAGTATAGGGTACACGACTGTGTGGAAAACTCCACCCCCAATATACAGCAGCTGAGACAGGGGGGACTGTTGCTTTCTGCCAACGGTCTGGGCATGCAGGCAGTGCCCACAGTGGGGACGCTGCCCCTCAGGATTGTCTTGTGATTGTGCTGTGCCCTGGGTATGGTCCACATGGTCAAAACTGGCTCTCCAGCATGGACATAAGTGCCTACTCCCAGGAAGGTGAGAACTGGAGGGCAGGCGGTTAGTTCCCTGTTAAGGAAGTGGTACAGACTTGCCAGAGTCAAGTCTGCCGACAGTCCAGCAGCTTCATCTCGCGCTGCAGCAGGGCACTTGAGAAGTGGGTGTCAGACCGAAGGAGAACATGGGTACTGGAGACTAGGGGCATTTGGCAGTCTCTGCCACACGTGGATACTGGAGACTAGGGGCATTTGGCAGTCTCTGCCGCACGTGGATACTGGAGACTTAGGGGCATTTGGCAGTCTCTACCGCACATCTGAAATGTCGCAGGAAGGTTGAAAATGAATCAATGAAAAAATCTCTATAACGAGAGACAGTGGATGGGGCAATATTAATGTTAGGGAAATGGAACTCAAGGTGCAAAGGATTAGAAGAGGGATGTTTAATATTCGTAAAAGGTCCCACCAAGAAGACAGTCCCAAACCTGTACTTACACAACAGCTTATTATGCACAGATTTTAAGCAAAATCTGTTAGAAATAAGAAAAAGACCATCACCACCTTAGCACGACTACCACCTCTGAAATCCCTGGATGAAACAGGTGAGCAGCAGTCAGGGTAAGATGTGATCGTCTGGATAATAAAGCTGGTGCATGCCTGGGTGCGCACAACAGCAGGTTTGCACCTGACCATGGGCCCCCTGTGCTCGGCTCTCTAGAACGTTTATAAAAGGTGGTGAGAGAAAGATACCTTTTCCTGAAATTAATCCTTAAGTTCAGTGTCATCAAGGTGAACGACCCACTGGATTTTTAAAAGCAGCTTAAGCTGATTAAAAAGCCTATTTAGAAGGGTACACAGACACCAGTCACCAATAACAAGTTGGAAGTAGGGTAAGGGTGCTGCGTACTGGGTTGGGGACTTGCTTAGTCAGATAGCAAGTTGGTGTAGAGCCATGTCATCCAAAAGATGGATTAGTATAGGAAGGGATAAACATGGCTATGTATGGCGTATATAACGGCTGCATTCATGAGTTTGTGAGTATGATAGGCTGCGTCTTACATCCTCTCCTGCAGGGTTGCTGTGAGTTGGCATTGGCTCGATGGCACTAGTTGTCAGAGAAAGTAGCCCTGATGTTGCCGTGGGCTAGGTGCTGTGGTGCAAACCTCAAGGTCAACGGTTCCCTAACCGGCCACACTACGGAGAAAGCTCAGGCGGTCTGTCCCCATGAAGATAGAGCGTCTCAGAAGCCCTTAGCTCGACGGCAGTGGGTTTGGGTTTCTAGGGTAAAAGCAGGCGCCCGGGTGGTGTAGTGGGTTAAGTGCTGGACTGCTAACTGCAAACCCACCAGCCGCCTTGTGGGAGAGAGATGTCATCTGCTTCCTCCTGAGCAGCCACAGCCTCGCCCCGGCCCGGGAAGCTCTGCAGTGTCTGTCTTAACTGGACACTGAGCTGGAACCGCCTTGACGGCAGTGGATTTTACAGGCTGAAAGAGTGTGTGTGGTGGTGCTGGGGCCCTGAAAGCTGTCTGTCTGTCCATAGGGATTTAGCAGGGGAAAGCGAGGTCCCTATTTCACACTGTATGCAAACTGTAAAACAGGGTACACACAGTATCCTAATGTAAAAATAAATATAAGACAATACTGATGTAAACTGTGACTTTCTTTAGCAAGCAGAACTCAGAAATCATTAAAAGAAAAACGTACAGAGGTCATTACATCCATGTAACAAATGACATTGGCACAAAGTTAAAAGTGACAACCGCAAGTTACTGTCCTCCCTTAGTCTAATGCAGAGGACCCAGAAGGACAGAGGGAAAGGATGTGGGTTGCACTGGCTCTGGTCTGCGCATGCAGAGCCACCCAGGACAGGACAGAAGCCCTCCTGGCCCCTGCCCAAATGCAGGCCAGGCTGCCTGGTAGCCCTGTGCCAGGCCCTCCAGGCAGTGCTCTGCCCAGGGCAGGGCAGGACAGCGCAGCACCATGTCCCCTTGCTTCTGCAGAAGTCCGCCCTGGTTGTCCGGGGCCCCCGGGAAGTGAAGAAGCGGGAGCTGGTCTTCCTGCAGTTCCGCCTGAACGAGAGCAGCGAGGACTTCAGTGCCATCGACTACCTGCTCTTCTCCTCTTACCACGAGTTCCTGCAGAGGTGGGCTTGTGGGCCCCCTCCCCCTACTTCTAAACAGGTTCCACGGCAGGTGGGGGCAGGGAAGTGGGGGCGGCGGGGCTCACACCCCTGCCTCCAGCTGGAAGCAGACCTGGGAGCTGAGAGGGCCCATTCATCTCTGGCTCACGGCAGTCTGTATGCAGTGGTGCCCAGCACACCTTGTGCTGCCGCAGCTGGTGGTTTCAGCAGATGCTTTGGTCTGGGGCTGCCAAGAAGGGGATGCTCCCTTCTGCTCTGGGAGCCTGCAAGGCAGGCCCCGCCTTGCGCTTTGGTGCAGTGTTTGCAGTGCGGGGTATTTTTGACCCAAGGATGACTGGCTGCACCTGGGGTAACAAGGAGCCCCTAGCCCTTAGCAGTTCTGGTGTGTTCCCTGCACACCACCTTGGGTGAGAGCATTGTCAGCATCTGCCCTGCTGTGTGTGACTCGGCCCCTCCGCGCTGCGTTTACCGGAAGTAGGGAGGCAGCTGCCTACACTCAGAGCCTCTCCCCAGCTCACTCACACACTTGCACCCTTTCCGCCCCCTGGAGTCCCATCTCCAGTCACTGCATCTAGCTGCCCCAGTGCTCCTCCTGGAAGGCTTGCCAGAGGCCCCACCCTCCTATGAATTCCTTTCGGAGCTTCCTCACCCCTGCAGGGCAGACTCTATTTGCTTCTGTTTATCTATGGTGGCTGTCATTGTAGGTCCCATCAGGGGAAGTGGGTGGGTCCCCCGAGGGCTGCCCAGTCTGCTAAAGGCCTGGTTCTCAGGGGCCCGAGGTACCATGGTGCTGTGGACTCTGCTGTAGGGTGGCCGGCTTGGGTGGGATGAGGAATTCTCTCAGTCAATAGGAGCCTCTTGGGGTCCCTGCCTTTAGCCCTGTGCCAGCACTGCCTCCTTCTGGAACCCTAGAAGCAGAGCTTGGAGAGGAAGCGGGCTGGGCAGCAGGCAGGGGCACCCGCCTAGGGGCTTGAAGCAAGGGCCAGAGTCCAGCTGGGTTTGATCCTGCCGTCAGGACTGGACTGAGTTACACTGATGTTTCTCTCTGTTCTCCAAGCCCAGACAAGGTGGGCTTCATGCAGTCCTGTGAGAGTGCCTATTCCAGCTGGAAGTTCTCTGGGGGCTTCCGCACCTGGGTCAAGATGTCACTGGTGGAGACCAAGGAGGAGGATGGGCGGGAAGCAGTGGAGTTCCGGCAGGAGGTAGGTGCCTTTGGGTTGGCTTAGCTGCGAGCAACTTATCCACACCTGTGTCTGGAGTGGAGGGACCCTTCAGAGAGCAGAATCGTAGGGTAAGTAGACCTTGGCCAGGGGTGAGTAGGCACCCGGTTTGTGTTTGTGTGGTAAATATATATGTAATAACATATTTACCATGCCGGTCTTCTTCACATACAGTTCAGCACAGCAAGTCTAGCATGTTGTTCAGTCAACACATTTATCGGACCCCATTTTCCTATCTTGTCTCAGATGCTCAGTGTCTCCCAAGCATAGAAGGCCCCTCTCCCTCCTTGTCCAGCCCGTGACCACTGGTAACCCCCTGGCAACCGTCTCGTTGGACAGCGTGCTTTGCCATGTAGGCAGTGCAGTGCCCTACCAGCACAGCCAGGCCTCCAGCACGCAGGGTCGCTGCCTTTGAGAGAGGTGGTGACTGGCTCAAGGAACCGCAGTGGTGATAGGTTGGACCACTAACCACAGGGTCAGCAAGTGGAAACTACCAGTCACTCCATGGGAGACAGATGTGCATACACATGTGTGTTAGTGAGTGTTTTGCCTAGGTTACACACCAGGTGGCTGGTGGTAAGATCTCACTGCCCTCTGGTTGATTCTCACTCAGAACTCCTATGGGTTGCTGAGACTGCAACTTTCCAGGAGTAGAAAGCCTCATCTTACACCCGAGGAGCGACGGGTGGTTTCGAAATGCTAACCTCACAGTTAGCAGCCTAACTCATAACCACTGTGCCACCAGGAAGAAATAGTGCCTTCCTTTTTTAGTTTTATTTTTGTATCTCCTATTTTTAATTTCTGGGTGTTTTCAAATGTATAAAAAGTAGAATAAAAAGCCAAACCCACTGCGCAGAGCTGATTCCGACTCATAGCGACCCTCTAGGACAGAGTAGGGCATTCCCGTGGAGTACTAAAGGGCTGTTAGCCTTTATCAGAGCAGACAGCCACATCTTTCTCGCGGAGTGACTGCTGGGTTCGAACTGCCAACGCTTTGGTTAGCAGCTGAGTGCTTTCACCACTGGCTCCTAGAACGGTAATAAAAAGAAATTTGTTGCCCTGGAGTCAATGCTGACTCATAGTGACCCCCTGTGGGTTTCCAAGACTAATTGTGTACAGGGGTAGAAAGCCTAATCTTTCTCCCTTGGAGCTGCTGGTGGTTTCGAACTGCCAACCATGCAGGTTGCAGCCCAACAGGTAACCAGTATACCACCAGGGCTCCTAGAACAATAATAGTACATGTTATATCTCAAAAAATTATCAATGAAAATACAGGTTAAAGGCTCAGCTTTTTTGTTTATAAGTGGTAGGGAAGTATGACCCCAAAGCTTATAGCTCTGTGAGCTAGCGACCTGGGGATATGTAGCCATGTTCAGGTAGAAGGGACTTATGACAAAATGTAGCAACCAGGGTGGAGAGATGGACATTGTTGCCTAGGCTGGGCTCTCAGTCACAAAGCCCGGCCTTGTCACAAGGGCTTTCAGCTTGGCCTTGCTCTGCCCTCCCTGGGCACACTGCTGGGCCCCTCTACCCCTCCTTGGAGCTTGGCCCCCATTCCAAGCTCAGAGTTAGGAGCACTCCAGGATGAAGCAGGAGTTGGAGAGTCCAGCTAACTGGCCGCCGTTGACGAGAATCTACCTACTAGGTCACTTGGGCCTGGGGACGCCGAGGTTCCCTGCTGGGGCTCTCAGGGCCAGTCAGGCTGGATACGTGGGAGAGGCTCAAAGCCAGTGGTTCTTTGTGTTTTTTAAAAGGGCTATTTTTCCTGCCTTTGGAGGGGGTGACAACCCAAAATTCATAAAATATTCCTGTTTTGTACCATCACTGTCATCTCCCGGGCCTTTATACCGCACTACTCTCCAAGAACTCCAGTTCTTCTCTCATCCGGCCCCTCAGCAGCCCGGGAAAGGAGACCAGGGGTTCATTCCCGCTGACACCCTGAGGTGTGCACCCTGGCTTTCTTGAAGCCCCAGTGATGATTTGAAGCCAGAGGAGCCAGAAGCGCTGCAGACCCATCCATTGTAACAGTTTGTAAGTGTACGGTTCAGTGACGTGAATCACACCATCACGCTGGGCCACCGGCACGTTCTTCATTTCCCAGGGTTTTCCATCAACACACAGCAACCTGGGCGTCAGGAGAACCCGCCCCGTCCCTCCTCCCCGCCGTCTCTGGGAACCATGAACCGACTTTGTCTGTCTGTTGTGTGTCCAGTTTATTTCGTGCAGCACAGTGTTTTCATGGTGCGTCCATTGCTCCAGTACGTAGATCTTCCTCTTTATGCCTGACCTTTGCTCATAGACCGTATATACCCAATTGATGTTTGCAATGTTATATGCTGTAAGAGCCCAGTAGAATGATTAAAAGAAGAACGTATATACCGCATTTTGCTGATCCATTTATGTTTGGGTGGACACCAGCATTTCCCCCCTTCGGCTGTTGTGTGTGATCTGTCCCGCGCACTGGTGTGTCAGAAGGAGTATCTTTAGAGCCCTTGCCCTCGCGTCTCGAGTGTAAACCCAGGAGGGGAATTGCTGGGTCATACAGCCTTAGGGCTAGAACTGTGCCCCCCCCCCCCAGTAGGATGTTATAATCTCATTTGGGAATGGGGGTGTCTTTGTGACGTTTCTGAGACAGGATTCATGTACAGGTGGGGGACAGAGATGTCACACCACACGAAGAACAGAAGCTGAGGGACAGGTCTTTCCTCCAGAGGCGACAGAGAAAGCCTTCCCCTGGAGCCGGCAGCCTGAACTCAGACCACTAGCCTCCCAGCCTGAGCGCAAGCACGTTTGTTTGGTTCGGTGCCCACATGTGGTGGTGGTAGAGCCGCACTCACTCTCCCAGGCATATGGTTTGATTCTGGTCTCATTTTGAAGAGCCACACTGTGTGCACTCACCAGCTGTACACAGGGCTTCCGGTCTCTCCACATCCTTGTATTTCTGCTTCTCTGATAAGAGCTATCCACGGGCTTGGGGAGGTTGAAATGTACCTTTTAAATTAAGCCTGAATTAAATTTGTTTAAATTAAGTCTTTTGGCAGGGGCCATGTGCTCTTTTGAACTCAAACTGAAAAATGTTCCCACACCAGGCTCTGGAGGGTGAACATATTTTCACATATGTTCGCTCACGGGAACATCACCACATCAATGAGGTGGGCATTTTGCACCCTGTTAACAGATGCCAAAGTGGGGGCTCAGATCGGATGATGGCCCAAGACCCCTCTGGGCTAGTTCTGAGCTTCTGTTCCCATCAGCCTGCTCTTCATTACCCTACACAGCTGCCTCAGGTGTTGTGACTAGCTCTGAGCACGCCGTCCACTAACTGCTTCCAGGGGGCGTCAGCTGTGTGAACCAGTTGGATTGTATTTTGTCCCTGTTGATATCTTCAGTCCTAAAACTAATTGGAAATTTGGGGCTTTTATGGCTCTTCTGAGCCTTACGTGGCTGTCCAGATGTGGCTTGTCCCCACTGTGGGCAGATGGGCATAGCTGCCCACGTTGGTGACTTGTACATCCATACCGTTGCATGGCCCTAACACACTGGCACCGCGGCCAAGCCTGGGCTCCGGGGGTGTCCAGCTCTCGAGTTCTCAAGCTCTCTGGCCGTCTTCTTGAGCGGAGAGATGGCAGGAGGTGACACTGCTCTCCCCTCTCCCACCCCCATCTAGACGAGTGTGGTGAACTATATTGACCAGAGGCCAGCTGCTGAAAGAAGCGCTCAGTTGTTTTTTGTGGTCTTTGAATGGAAGGATCCTTTCATCCAGAAAGTCCAAGATGTGAGTATGTAAACCCTTTGAGAGGAACTCCCTGTCCTGGAGTGCTGGGGCTCCTCCCCAAACCTGACAAGCCTGCCTGATCCTCAGTCCCTTCTCTGAGAGCCCATAGCAGAGGCTCGTGACCTCATCCCTAGAGGCTCTTCTCTGAGGTCATGGGGACTGCGCCGTTTTGTCCGACCTCCCTTGTGTGGGGTCTAGGAGAGTGCTCAGCAGAGAGAAGCTACTCTGGGAGGCGGCATTAGGTGAGAGCAGAGCAGAAAGTGTTCCAGCAGTGCTGAGACCACTGCTACTGGGAACCATCCTTTCTCATGGCAAGCAAGTCAGAGCAGAGAGGGAGGGATGAAAAACTGAGCCAGTGCCAGACTCCTGACCTCAACGGCAGGGACGGGACAGCTGTGCTGCGGGAACATCACGCACTCCACGCCACCCCCAGATCTCATCCTGGCACCCAGATCTTCACAGATGTGCCAATGTGGCCTCAGGCTAGGGAAGGAGCTTCAGCGGGTCTGTGGCCTGGGTGTGCTCTGAGGTCCCCACCGCCAGCGGCAAGGCTGTGTGCAAGTGGAATAATGGCCTTCCGCCCTACATTTTAAAAATCATTTTATCGGGGCGCTTACAAGTCTTACCACAATCCATACATCCATCCATGATGTCAAGCACATTTGTACATGTTGCCATCATTCTCAACAACATTTTCTTTCTACTTGAGCCCTTGTTATTAGCTCATTTTCCCCCACCGTCCCTCCCCCATGGACCCTTGATAATTTATAAATTGTTTTCATTTCTTACACCGACCACGGTCTACCTTCACCCACTTTTCTGTTGTCTGTTCCCCTGGGAAAGGTATGTTGATCATTGTGATCGATTCCCTCTTTCTCCCTCCACCTTCCCCTCCTGGTATCGCTACTCTCATTATTGGTTCTGAGGCGTTTATCTGTCCTGGATTCCCTGTTTTGAGCTCTTATCTCTCCACCCTGTTTCACTCAGCTCCACCTGCGGTCCTCCCAGTGGTGGGGGTGGAACCACTTGCATGTGAAGACTGAGCCCAAGGTCACCTGCTCAACTGAGTCCTAATACACCAGCTGGAAGGATTCCCAAATCCCTTCAAGGCTTCAACATCTATTGAGGGGGTAACTGGTAGCTGTAAGGTGACTAATACTAATGCTAGGCAGCTGGCCACACAGTGCTAAATATCTCTGCCAAGATCCAGAGAGGATTTCGTTAGTCGAAGAAACCTTTGAGGAGGCTTATTAAATCTAGATGAGAGGGAAGCTTCCTAGGCAGAGAGAAGGAGCAGAGGCCTAAAGGGAGGCGGAGACCCACTGGATGAACCTGGGAGGGAAGTCAGTCCATTCCGACTCACAGCCACCCTCCAGGGCAGAGTAGACCTGCCCATGAGCTTCCGAGTCTGCAAATCGTTATGGGAGCAGAAAGCTCATCTTTCTCCCCCAGAGGTGGGTTCCAACTGCTGGCCTTGTGGTTAGCAGCTTGACACATAACCCTCTACGTCACCAAGGCCCCTTGTCATTGGACTAGGTAGAAACGAACTGAGCTGAAGGTCACGAGGAGCTGACCTGGTATGGGTTTGATGCAGTCTCAGGGACACTTGTAATAGTCACACTTACTTCTGGATTAGGTTAACAAATTAAAGTTCAGTGCTGACATGTAGTTTTTTTTTAAATGCTTTCTTTCAGAATTGCTTTATCCCAGGGAGAGGCTAGTATTTTTCTTTGTCCGCTGTACTGTGGGTATAAAAGGGTTAGTCTGAAGTAGAGTCATGGCATTTGTAGGACCCAAGTGCTTCTGTCATCATCCCGTCACTGCTCTGGCAAATTACCCTGGGGCAAGTCAAACTAAAGCTAGTCTGCGTTTCTTTTCCAGATCATCACTGCCAATCCTTGGAACACAATTGCTCTTCTCTGTGGGGCCTTTTTGGCATTATTCAAAGCAGCAGAATTTGCCAAACTGAGTGTGAAATGGATGATCAAAATTCGGAGGAGATACCACAAAAGAAGGGGCCAGACAACAAACCACATAAGCTGAGTCCACCGGTGTTGCTCACAGAACTGTCTGAGGGAGTGCAAATTCTTGGGACTTCTGCACTGCTGAATTGAGCCACCGGCACTCACCCCTGCTGCCACCGGAAGCAGTGGGGCCTTGCTGTGAGCTACCAACCACCTGCCACACTGGCACTTCCAACCTGGCCCTGAGGCTGTGCAGAGATTACTGGAACATAGCAAATGAGTAACTTCTGTTATTTAAGTAAATTATTAATGGACATTTCTAAAAAGTGATGTATGGATAGGTTTTGTGGAAGGTGGACTAGCTCTTCATATTTTCCCAGTCACTCAGCTGTAGGAAACACTTCACTTCCTGTTTGCTCTGGTGCACAGCAGAGCCTGCTGTGGGTTAACTAAGGTCTTCTGTTCTATCTCGGGTGACCCCCTGAGGTTTTTTAAGGGGCCGGGACAGAGTGCTATTCTTTTGTCCAAAAAGTTTGGACTATCCAGACGTGTGGGCCATGCTTTGTAATGCGTATGTTGTAAATGAAGCAAGGCAAAACCCTCATGTCTTCGGTGTCACCTGCCATCTGCATCCCCCAGCCTCTGGCTTTTCTTCTCATGGGCTAAGTCAGACTTTAAAGAAAAAAATCTACTCGAAACTAGTAATTTGTGGCTTACCCAATTCTTTGCCTGGTTAGAGCTTTTCTTATGGACAGAGGGATGAAACAGAGTGACCAACACCGAAAAGCACTTAGGACAGATGTACTGTAGGTGCCTCACTCGAACATCTTGATGATTTTGTGAAGAGGTAGAAAGAAGCCAGACTGGTGCAAAAAGAATCGGGCACTGACTCAGTAGGCACTGGTGCTCATTCACTTTGTGGCCTCCAGTAACAGCAGGTAGCCTGAGCCTAGACTCCCAAGATACATGAAGGTTCGATTGTAACTGCATATAGAATGGGTTGGGTCTGGTAATGGGTGGGGGTGATCAAGAGGAATCCATTGGGCCCTAGGGGTGAGCTGTGCTGTGACCCTCACCATATCCTACACAACCCATCTGAGAAACGGGGGTGTTTGACAGGATGAGTGGTTAAAAAAAACCTTTTTTCCCCCCTCACATGGTAGCTGCTGGCTGACGTAAGGTTGTAAAACTTGTTGAGTTTTAATTTATCTGTCCTTTGCATCCAAGGGGACCTGGTATCACCTCTTGAATTCCCTAATCTGCTCTACATGCTTGCAAGAAATAAACTTCAAAAGTGAGTAAGGTTTTTTTTTAAATCTCATGTCTAACCTAGCAAGAAATTGTGTGCACATGTGTTAACAAAAGCAAACTATAGAGAAATATTCCCTGCTGTTTTTCTGCTCCACAGAAGCATGAAACCAAACTTTAGCCAAAGGCTCTTCTTTAGAAAAGCTAGCTCCCTGCAGGGCAGATGTAGAGCCAGGGCGTAACCTTTACCTTATTGAGATTTAAGAACTTAGATTAACAGTATTGAACAAACGTGTGTGTGTTTTGGGGGTGGGTGTCCCCCCAGTACAGGTGGTCCCGTCTTAAGATGTAGTTAGTTACAATGAAGCCCCCCCTTGCTGGCATGTTTTATTTTGAAGCAGACGCAGCTTACTGTCAGCAGTGTGCGCCCGCACTGTAGTGCGTAATGGGCCAATCATCCCTCCCACGTCTATTTGCAGGTGTTCAACTCTACGGTTCACTGTCCACAACGGCTGTAGAGCAGGCTATGGAAATGTTTTAAAAATGAGAGTTAGCTTCACTTCAACTGTAGATATAATTCAGGGACTACTTGTATCTCTAAAGATGACAAACCACTTTAATGTCACTTACATGTTCTAATAAATATGCTCCAATAAACATGCTAAACTTTTTGAATTCTGGCAAGTTGAGTGTCCTTATAAATGTGCTTTAGGATAACTAGATTTCAATGTAAATGGACATTCTTAGCTATTCAAATGGGAAAATAACATTACAACCATTAACTCTGCCGAGCCTTTCTATAGTATACAGATTTGGACTTAACCCTTGCTTTCTGTAAAGGCCTGCCTTTCACACAACTTGTGGCAGACCATGCCTCTCTGTGACTGCCCGACTGCCTGTGATACTGCAGGCCAGACATTAGTGGTGGGGGGTTCTGGGATGACCTACCTTGGGTGGCTCTATACTACCTGCTGCTCAAGATTGCTGAAACACACACAAGGAGCCAGTAAACCTAAGGCAAAGGCTCCTCCAAGCTGCACAGAGAAGGAGCTGCCTTCACAACGACCCCGGTGTGAACCTTTTGTAGATGTTACAGAAGCTGGGTTAAAAATAAGGAGTTGAAAACTTCATCATGTCTGACTTAAGACTGTCACCATCTCTTGGTCCCACTGAGCTCCCCACCCCCAAATAAACAACAGATCACCATCCCGCTCTGCCAACACGAGCTGTGGAATTTTTATCGTCCTTGGTCTCTTCATTAAAATGAAATTAAGATATCCTGGAAGCTAGAATCGTGGACTGCGTCGCACCATTTGCCTTAAAAATGTCTGTGTGGTGCCGTCAGGTTAGGGCTGGACTGCTAACTGGTTCAAAGTGATCAGCTGAACTGAGGCGCTCCGCTCTGCAGAGATTTACAGTCGCCTCAGAAATCCTAGGTAAGTGGCAGTGGGCTGGTTTTTGTTTTTATGTGTGCGTGTATGGGGGCAGGCTCTGAATACGTAAGCTTGGAGTTGAAGGAAGCAAAGATGACATAAGGCAAAATACAAACATAGACTTTATTAAATGCTGCTCAATCCCCTAATGAAGATCTTTCATTACAAAACAGTTTTCCACACAACTGCAAGTTAAGAGATTGGAATGGTACTCTGATAACAAAATATGTGAGAAAATACTTGACCAGGTAAAAACATACACGACCTCTCTAATCATGGTTTCAGAAGTCTAGAGGAAGCCTACTGCAGTCCTTGTGAGTAAGCCAGGCAGTGACAGCTAGCGCTGGGCATGGCCACGCTGTGAGCCCGCACCTCCATCCCTGGTCAGGAGGGACTGGGAAGGCAGAGGGAAGAGAGAATCGTGGAGAGGCGCCAGCCTCGCTCGCTCGCTGCCTCTGCTCATCTGTGCTCATCACTCTGGGAGTTGATGTACTCATGAGGATCAATCTCAAGGATTTGGTTTACTTTCCCAGCTTTTATTTATATTTTGTGCTTTAAAAAGCCTGGAAATTTAAGTTTTCTGCTCAAATTCCAGAGTTCAGGTAATTCCCTCCGTCATATTTCTGGGAGAGATAGGGGAGGAAGGGTAAGGATTATACCTTAGTTTTATTTTAGGAAATAACTCTTTTTCCTAGACTGTAACTAAGGTCTGCAGCAATGTGAAAAGCACATTATAAAAGGGAAAAATAATACAGAGCAGACTACTATCTATGTGCAACACAATCAAAAGAATTCAAGTCATAATTCTCACCACTCCCATAATTATCTCACGCCGTAGATGATAAAATGCATTTCTGTGAAACTTCAGAAGTGACACAATAGATCTGATTAGACAACAGTTACAATATCCTGTGGCCATGATATAACACAGGGCTATGTTTAGTCCGTATATTTTTTCATTTACAGTTGCGGGTGGGGGGGGGCAGGGGGGAATTGGCCTTTTAATTATACTGATGAGGTTTGTTTTGCAATTTTTACATACTCCAAAAGTGTGTACAAAACTGCACCTATCCAGCAGAGGTGGCGGGCATCTGTTCATTCAGCACTCGTATTGCTGAGAATACTGTGCATATTGTAAGCACTGTTCTGCTTTTCTAGAGCTTTCTTTAGCTTTAGCTCTTCTAACTTTTTCCATAATTCTTCACGTTCCAGTTCCTTCTTTTTCTCTCTGTAGACAAAAATTTTTATAATCAGAAAATTTCACCTCAGAACCTCGAGGGCAGTGGCCTCGAGGACTCACTGTCCGTGGCATCCACCTACGTCCTTCTAGTTGGTGGGCGAGCGCAATGCCCGAGTCCGTCTCCTAAAGGTCACTCTGAGGCCTGTGCAGCCCGGGTGCTGAACCCTCCTAACCTCTAATTCTCCTTAAAGGGCTGGCCGGGAGCAGTCGGTCAGTCTTGCAGACAGACTGCAGGCTATGGCCCTTTCCACTCCCTGCAGGGTCCTGCCCTGGAGGCCACATCACTAGGCACTCATTAGGTTACGGTATCCTACTATCTTCTGTCTCTTACACGCCAAACTAAAATCTGAAAGTTTGGGGAAAAAAATCCCTAAAAATAAGTGAAAATACAGGTTATTTCAATTGGTGAACTTCTAATTTAAGGAGAGCAATTGTAAACAATTGGTCCACGGGACCTGATGTGATTTGGATGCTGTGCCAATATCATGGTATTTTATAAGCAGATCATAAACAAGTTCTGTTTCCAAGTCTGCCTTACAGCCTACTTTATACCTTAAAATAGGTAGGTATGGTTATTATCTAATGTCAGTCTAATGATTGTCTTAGGACACTGCACTTTTCTAAGCAGACAGAGCAATAAACAGTTGCATACACAAAGATATCTAACAGTTGTAGTAACAAGGTTTTGATGTGTGCTGCAAAGTAGCAGTCTTGTTATTAAGAACCAATGTACCTCAAATTTGTACTACAATAAGCTTTACAGGGAGGGGTTAGACGCTGCCCAAATGGCTATAATGAGCTCAGTGACTGTTTTCTGAAAGGCTGTATGACTTGTAAAACAAGGACGTACACTATGGTCACAGAGGATTCCAGGGGACAAAGGTGCTGATTTATGCAGATATGCAATAATTGATTTTCCTTCATCATGTGAATAAAGACTGTTCAAATACAAGTGTCATATCCTAGGAACATTTCCATCCTTTCCATTGCTTGCTGGTATTCAAACCATGTAGCTGCTGCTTCCTGCTGGAGCGCTGCTCTCAAAAGAAATCCTAGCTGCCCTGCGCTTTGTCTGCTTGCCACAGACACAATAGGATGTGTGGTCAAAATGCATCAGCTTTTCTCAACAGGTAACAATACACAAGGTAATCAGTCAAAGCAAATAGTAGTTATTATTCTTACATGGTAAATGGGCTGAAGTATGACAGCTACTGTTCACCTTTTAATGTTTTAAATAAATACATGAGAAGGAAGGGATATCAAATTCTCAAAAAGATAAACACTAAGCCAAGTTCCTAAAGGGTGGTGTGTACTATCTTTTCCTTAAAGTGTACTTTACTGCCAGGAGCAAAATGTTGGGCTCTAAGCCTTGGGCACATCCTTCTGTGAGTTCCCTCTACTCCAAGGAGAACGAGGCTGAGTCCAAAGCTCCACCTTGTTAAAATCTGCAGCTTACCCCCACCAACTGCTGGTCAGGGGGCAGGGGAAGGCAAGGTCCACTGTGGTAGCCTTCTAATTGTACAAATCAAACTCCAAAAAATTATATTTTGTAATGAAGTCTGAGGTTCAGAATGAGGCAAATAGATGGTTTTCAATCCACATTCAACTACTGTTTAACCTTTAAGGAAGTAAATTATGTAACCGCCCTTCGACAATAGATGCTGTTAAACAAATAGTTTATCTGGGAATGACTCAAGAGAGTTTAGACACTTTAATATGGTAATGCTTAATGTATTCTACTTCTTAAATACTGTATTAATTAACCCAAATTACATTTAACAAACCTAATATGCAATAACAATACTTCAAGATATCACCTACCTTTGTCTTTCAGCTTTGTATGAGCTAGTAAGGTCATCAAAAAGTTTGCCGTTCATTTCCATGAGTGTTTTCAGCACATTGTACACCAGTGCTACAATGGTCCTACAATGAAAGGAAGCCAGAGCTGGGTTACCGATGCTAACAGAGAGGGGCTGTCACGCTCTGAAATGGACTGCATGTTGGCTGGTACACTGAATTCATTTCACAGCTGATGAAACAGATTCAACAATTTGCTCAAGGGTACCCAGTCAGCGGTGATAGCTAAATGTGTGGTTATTGTCAGGTTCTGCTCTAAGGTCTCTAAAAACCCTAACTAATAAAAAGATGAAAACGACCAGATTACAAAGCACAAACCAAAAATTAAAAAAAGTCAGGCTACAATAATTTGTAGAAAGCAAGAAGAAAAGGATGCTATCAAAGTCAGACAGTATAAGCATCCTTACTGTCACTTATCTGGCTAAGGCTGGGGTGGTGTCACCTGGGGTGTGTCCATATACTGAGTGCGAGCATGCCCAGGGGAGTGCTACCTTCAGGGAGGGTTACAATTTTAAGTTGAAGCAAGGGTCGTATTAAAGAGCATACACACACATTCATCAAGCTGAATTTATAGAAAGTATGGAACAGAATAATGGGTGGTGTGCACCTGTGAATAAATTCCAAATGTCTACAGAAAATCAAATGACAAAAATGTTACCCCCCACACAAGAAAACACGACCAACCGAAAAGATACTTACTGATTCCAGTGTTCTTTGGAGATTTTGTACAAACTACCAAACATAATTGGCAGAATTTTGTCAATGTTCTCCTCAATCAAACTAAGAATATATTCATTATTCCAGAAGTACAAGGCCCTTTCTGCAACCTAAGAAGACATGGGGACCATCAGCAGAAGGACAGCAGCACAGTGCGTCTGGGGTGAGGGACGGCACTGAGAACACTACCTGGAAGTGAGAACTGGACACACACTTGGAGATCTGTTTAAACAGCGGCTCTTCAATTTTTTTGAACTGTGTTGGTTCAATGACATCTAAGATTTCTTCAATTTCTCCTAAAAACATCACCTAGGTTAAAAAAATTTTCATTTAAGAGACCTAATGACAAAATATGTGATGCTAATACAGAAACCATACAAATGACAAGGTAAGCCTACAGGTGGCGGAGTGGGCACACCAGGTCTGGGTGGAATATGCAACTGATGTAACACGGCTCTTTTCTGAGTCTCCAGCTGGCTACAGACAGGCTCCGGCCGTGGCAGTGCCAATGCAGCCAGCTGCAGAGTCACCGTGCTTGGGCCGGACTTGAGACCTAGTAAAACATACTACGGTTCATGAACAAAACCCACCTCTTTCTGACTGCATGTTTTTGGCCAAAATTTTAGCAATCCTCTGATCACCTGCAAAAAAGGGTTAAAGATTAGCATGAATTAAACAATGTAAATTTCCAATAGTTGTGATTATATCAATATTCATTCTAACAACAATAACACCCCCCCCCCCAAATAATAAAAACCCTCACTGCCATCGGGCTGAATCTGTCTCAGAGTAAGTCAACACAGGGTTTCCCAGGCTGCAGAGTTGCACAGGCGCAGACGGCCTCCTCTTTCTCTAGTGGAACAGCTGGTGGACTCAGAGCGACAGTCTGAAGCGTGAAAGCCCAGCTCTTTCTGGTCAGGTTTCCCGGTTTTACTGGTTTTGAGCAGGGCCACTGAATCAGAGCCACTCGAGGGTAGTGCGTTGTTCTGTTACGTATCAGACCCTCTCCCAGATGGTAGGGACAAGACAGAAGAAGGCAGGAAGACTAACAATACCTGAGCAATTAAACATGTAGGTATAATTTTAATAGTAATACGTTCTATGAAGGAAAATATGAAAATAACTTGGTGAGATCCTCACCACCAACTTGGTGGGGGGTTATTTTAGGGGGCAACATTAAGGAACAGATAAAAGAAAGTTCCTCCATTCGCAGCTAGAACGACACCTTGATAATAAAGTACAGTAAAATACAAGAAAAGGTACCATGCATTTAAATGAGCATAGCTATTAAGCAAAATGAGTTAAAAGAATCAAAAGTATATTAGAACAATGTTACAAGCCCAATTATAATTTAACCCAGACTTCAGAATGGTTCAACTTACATTTAAAAGAAAAGAAATACACAACCATCTTTAAAGATTCTAAAGTCATTAATATTTTTTATTTATGGTATGTTCTGATAAAAGTTTAGTGAGTTAGAACCAAGAGCACTTATCAGTAACCATCACCTATGTAATGGCTTTACCAAGAGGGGGGCCTGGTGTTTGGGTAAAGTATGTCTTTGACAGTCTTTTAAGTTTATTTCGGATTTATTAGATGAGACAATGTAATATTGCAGTCATTATTCTCCCCTGCTTAATCCATAAATTCTCTTATCCACTGTAGAGATCTATAAATGTAAGCAAATAGGTAGGAACTTTTGGGGGTGGGGGTTGAATAGAATGGATCCTGCACTACTGATATCAACAACTACCATTTCCACTAGTGATTATAAAGATTGTGTCCCCTGGGCTTGCATGCTTTGAGAAAGCAACTAGGATATTGGAGAGGCCCACATGGACGAGGAACTGAGGGTGGTTCCAGCCAGCAACCAGCTAAGGACGCAGGGCCTTATTCCAACAGCGCTGGAGGAACGGAATCTGCCAACAAGCATGTGAACTTGGAAGCCCATCCTTCACCACCCGAGCCTTTATGTGAGACCTGAGCCCTGGCCAGCACGTCACAGCAGCCTTAGGAAAGCCCTTGAGTCACAGGGCCAGCTTGGATTCCTGTGTGCACAAGAACTGTGAGATCATAATACACGTTTTGTTGTGCAGCAATAGAAAATGAATAGTTCTCCACCCATGTCATACACACAAATCGATTCTGACCGTAGAGGAGATTCAATATTGATCACCACAAAGATGCACTCATCCTGATCACCAGATACATGCAGGAGATGTTGATTTGGAAAGAGGGTTTTTGCAAATAGCATTCAGTTAAAGCTCACAAGGTGAATCCCATCACTGCTTGTTTGACTGGGGCCCTAAATCCAATGACAAATGTCCTTATAAGGCATCGGTTCTCAACATGTGGGTCGCGACTCCTTTGGGGATCGAACGACCTTTTTATAGGGGTCGCCTGATTCTTAACAGTAGCAAAAATAGTGATGAAGTAGCAATGAAAAAAATCTTATGGTTGGAGGTCAGCACAACGTGATGAACTGTATGAAAGGGTGGCAGCATTAGGAAGGTTGAGAACCACTAAGATAAGGGATGCACAGAGGAGAGCGAGAAGGGAGAGCTAACATGGGAGGTGATGTGGCCATGGAGGCGGCAGCTGCAGTAACTCAGCCACCAGTTACGAGCATCTGGAGCCACAGGAGCTGGAAGGGCAGGGACAGACTCTCCCCATGCAGCATGGCCCTTTGTTCATTTAGGACTTAAGCTGCGAGAGAAGAAATGTCTGGGTGTTTATTAAGCCACTAGGTGTGTGGCAATTTGTTACAGCAGCCCCAGGGCACTGATATAAAGGAAACAAAGACTTTGAAGTTAAAAACTAACTTCATAAAATACCAGAGAATATTTCTATAATCTCAGGGAGTAGAAAGGCTTTCTTAGCATGACATCAAGACTAGAAGCCAGAGAGATTAATAATATTTATATATAATAGAAATTATGTATATGTATTCTGTAAGGCAAAGACTAAAAACTACATTAAAAACTTTAAAGAAAAAAACTCTCAAATGGAAAAAAAGAGACTGTACTAAGGAAAGAGGAGAAAGCAAGCAAGGGCACAGAAATATAAATGATCATCTGAACACAAGAAGGGTGACTCACTCCCTATAATAATAGCAAATACAAATCCAGTTAGCATACCATCTTACACTTATTAGACTAGCAAAGATCTTACAGACTTAAGATTCAGTATTGGACTGGGAGAAGGAATCAGGCATCATCACAGTCTAGATTAGAAAATTAAATGTTAAATATTTTTGGAAGGCGACCTCGAATGTTACAATTTGTGCGTATCCTTTGACATGGCAACCCGGGCCTTATTTTAAAATTATTCTTTAGATTTAGATATAGTGAAATGATTTGTCCTCTCTACTTCTGGTATATAATTCTAAGTGTTCTTACATGTGCATACATTTTTGTTCACCACCACCACACACACTACGCAGAATAATTCAATGCTCCTCAAAATGCCCTCATTTAACATGATTTCAACAGTGAAAAATTAAAATGATTCAATGCTTTGCTGATTCACAAAGGAAGCAACCTTTATTTTAAGATTATCTTAATCACCAAAGGCAAGGAATTGTTTTTAACCCCTGCCAGGTGGTTTTATAACTAATAAGTGGGTAAATCCTATTCCTTTAGAAAATTAAGAATTCCAGGGAATAGTTTTGGGACCTTCACAATATCGTTTAATTCTTTTTTTTTTTTTTTTCGTTTAATTCTTTAAGATGAATAGGATTTAAAAAGTTATCGATGTGTATGACCCAATCTATGAGGAATTTCAAACCGTGGGCACTGAGGCCGTCACCGTCAACGTACCCGTACCTATAGATTCCCCTCCAGTTGAGTTACTCACAGGACTCGTGACAACTCCTTTGCTTCCCAGTCCACTTCTCCGAATGCAGATTACGGAACCTCACCTTTCTTTATCTACCTAGTTTGTGCTTAAAGTACATCACTACTGTTGGTGTGCCTGTTCGGCCATAAAGCTACAATATACACCAAAGACGTACACATAAATAGAACACTTACTGGTTCTGTTAGTGTGGTATCTTTCTCCAGGAACTGGACAACGCAATAGGCTAGCTGAAATGTAAAAGACAATTTTTTTAAGTGTTACTGAGTGAAATCACACTCTGGGACAGGAATAAAAAAAAAAAAAACTAATACAACGGATTACCTCATTTTCAGAAACGGAATTCTAGCTTATTTCAATATAAAAATGAATCTGTGCTCACAATGGTGTAACTTAACTTTTTTTAGCATGAATTTTTGAATGTAAAGTTACTTGAAATAAGCTGGGTGCTAACATTTCAGTTAGGCAGCATGTTTTCTGCAGATCCCTGCGCTAGTCGTGAGGCATTCTGGAGCGTCCCTGACTAGTGATGCTTTACAGGTAGGAAGACGTGTACTTGCTCCAATGCTGCAGTGCCCAGCTTGCTGCTGTTGTCAGCAACCCCAAAGACAAATAAAGAGGGATTTGCAAAGACACTAATGACAAAAGACAGTAATAATCATTAGGGGACCTGGGAGAGGCAGTCAACCTTCTCCAACTACGTTATCAGATCTGGAAGGACATTCTGCAGATATGTGGGATTTCCTCAAAATCATATTGTTAATTAGATCAGGTAGGAACTGGACTAGAAAGTATGGAATTTCATATTATCTTTTATAAAGCTACATTTAAAGTGTACTGTCCTTTTAAAATAAACTGCCATTATACTTTAAAATTATGATACAATGAGACATGCTTCTGGTCATTTACAAAACAAGCCACTTAATTTTATTTAAAACTATCAGTATTTCTCCATTTCCCTGCCTTATGTGTTAGTCTTTGAAACAATATTCATTTCTTCTGAAACTTACCTGAGCATGAAACAAAGCTAATCCTTTTGCAGTATGCATAGGAATAAGAACCTTCATTAGAAACTGTTTATGTTCTGCTTTCAGTGGCAATGCAAAGCCATTGATAATACTAGAGGGAAAAAAAGGCAGAGAAGGGTTAAGTAGATACTATTTTCTTTCTGAGAATTACTCTATGCATGAGTGCATTTAAGCAACAGTACTCTGCTTCCACCTGGGTTGTATGGCTTCCTCACCTATGAGTAACCTAGAAAGAATATACTATGAAGTCTTCCCTCCATTCAATCATGCAAAAGAAAATTATGGCTGACCCACTACATAATTTCTGCCTGCCCAATCTATAAAGCCTGCCATGTCACCTGTGCCTCATTGCCTTCACTTTTCTTTCCTGAAGTTGCAGGGAACCAACATCACATTTAATGTTGTTACAATTGTCTCTAAACAGTAATACCCACCCACTGCATAGCAACACTATAGTATCCAAGACTGTAACTCTTCATGAGAGCAGAGACTCATCCTCTTCCCACAGAGTGACTGTTGAGTTTGAACCACTGACCTTGGGACTAGGAGCCCAATGCCTAACACGTGGTACCAGCAGTTCTCCTAAATAGTAATAAGGAGGTGTAAAATGCTCTCCAGTTACTACTGCTATCTGGTGAATAACACAGGCAAAATTTTCATGTAAATGAAACCAGACTTTAGATTTTTAAGAAAAGAGCAGATGGATTAGGAAATGCCTATCAACATCTGAATAAGAATTCTTGTAAATGCATCAGATTCACTACCGCTTATTTAATCTCTTCCCAATCAGATCCTATAAATTTCTGTGGCAGCCTGGCAAGATCAGGCATAAAACACACCACCACTTCAAAAGCAGCCAGTTGCTCTGAACTAGTTGTTTTTCTGTGGCAATGTTTTAATATGCTGACCCTCCGGAGAATCACAGGAAGAATTTGAGAAATTATGCCTTGTGCTCCATATTTAAGTCCAAAAACACATCATAATTTCTCCAATTCCAGCTAAGATATTGATGGTGAAACAAAGTTAATTCTTAAAAAGAATGGAAAAGGCAAAACTTGACCTACCTTCCTAGTATTTCAAGGAGTTCAGCAACACCATTGAAATGTTCTGTTTCATATATAAACCTTAATTTAAAATAAAGATAAATGTAACATGAATCAAGCATCAAAAAATAAACTAAGAGAGACAGGAAGGTAAAGCAATCAATCCAAGGAGCCAAAGCAGGAAAGCACATGGGCATTCTGTAGGTTTTCTTAGTAAGGTACTTTGTCCCAAGTCAATCTTACAAAAGAAAGTCTATTTCCTATTCAATCACATGTGTGCTTATTCAAATCTGCTGTTCGTTCAGCCAGCAGAAGTGTTTCCCTTGCAATATTCTATTTTACTTAAGGATGTAAAAGAAAGATGAGCTTTGTGAAAGAAATATTTTTAAAAATAGAAATATCTATTCCTGTAGGAAAATCCAAGAGGAAAGGCCAATACGTAGCAAGTCATTTTTATTGCTAACTCATCTGACCTTCAAGTTTAGGAACACCTTTAAAGCAGGGGTCATAAGCTCAAATAACAGCAAGACCAGGCAAGTTTGATGAGCAGCTCAAGTGGACCAGGTGGGCAGACGGAGCTCTGGAGAACCACGCTCCAGCTAAGGGCACCAGCTAGTCCTTAGTCCTCACTCACTAGCACAATGCCAGCCTCTTTCCCAGACCGAATTGCAGCACACAAAACAAACCTGAAACGAGTGTCAATGTGAAATCCCTATTTCAAGCAACTACTTGATAGGAAAACATTTACAAAATAGTCAAAAGGCAGGTTTCATATAACTTTAATGGAATACAAGTACTTTCAAGCAATCTACTGGTTATAACGTAGTTATAGACAATTTTAAAAGGAAATCTATTTTTACTGGGAGTAGAAAGCCTTGTCTTTTTCCCTCAGAGAGGCTGGTAGTTTCAAACTGCTGACCTTATGGATTAGTGGCCCAATGCATAACCACTATGCCACCAGGGCTGATCAAAGGAAAAGCCTTTTTACAGATATAGATGAGAAAATTTAACTTTGTTACCTATATTCTTATAAAAGGAAATTTTCCCTTTAGAAGCATAAAAATGCAATACCATAAAAAGATAAATTGGCCCTTACCCAAATGTTATTTTATTTTCTATGTTAACTAATAAACTGAAGATAATTTTGCTATATGATGAGCTGTATCTCGGAGTTGAAAATAAATTACTTAAAGGACACTTGGTTGCTGCTTTACACTGACAATATGCAAAACAGAATGGCTGGGCTGATTCTATTGCCAGAAGACAGCTGGATTTTCAAACACAAACTTCAAAGAAATAGATCACTAGATAAATTCTGTTCTTAACAACTCTTTAAACATGACTAACCAAAGATTATCTACTTAAAAATGCCCTCATTACTATCACCCACCTAGGTGAGCTCTAGCTTATCTGTTTCTGAAAGTTAGATACAATCAAGTGATGTCTAAAATCAGGCTATAGAAGTCGGTTAAATTTGCCATGTTAAACTTGCCATTTTCAGACAGGGGAGGGGGGAAGGAGTGCGCTACGTGTGACCTGCTCACCTGAGGAAAATGTTGTTAATCTGCTTTCGGATGAATGCTCTGAGGCCCAGAAATTTCCCGTAAATTCGATGCAGGACAGTCTTCAGGAAGTCACGCTCTCTGGGGTCTTCACTATCGAAAAGCTCCAGGAGCTTTAAAAGAAATCTGAGAAATTACTTTTAAAAAATAACCGAGCTAAAACTTCCCTTTACTCTAATTCTGATTTTCAGATTATCCAGGAAATCTTTCAGCTTCATCAGATCGATTCTGACCCTGCTAAATACTGAAGCCAAAGAAATGCTTTGGGAGTTTGTCTTTTCATGTTTTTCATCTAAAAAAGAAAAAAAGGATACAAACTCGACAAACATTTCAACAACTGTGTGATTTTTTTTTTGCCTTGCCTTTTTGGTGTTAAAATGTAAGACTGTTCATGATTTTTGACAGTAAGTCAAAAGTCCTCCAAAATCTTAAGCTTTCGACTACAAACCGTTAAAAAAATGAAGTCTTAAGAATATGCACCTGGAAATGTTTATTTCCAACTTACAAAAAGATTTATAAAATCAAGGTTTGTTGTTGCTGCTGCTGCTTTTTGTGATTTTGTACACACACACATACACCACCACCACCACCACCCCTATTCAGAAGGGTCACTATGCCATAGCTCAAAATCAGTTTTCAGGTTTCTGGATGCACAAGGGGCAGATCTACACCAACAAAGTGGAAATCACACATGAAATAACACTGCGGTTTAATGTCAGCTTGGCCAAGGGGTGCAAAATGCTTAACCAGTTCAGAGTGGCCAACTCGGCACTCTCCTACCCTTTTCATGTGTCAGCAAAGGCTTGGATAGAGATCTCTGAAAATGTAAAATGAAAAGTTCAAATTTCCATTTAAAAATGGTAAAGAAATGAATTTCTTCTGTCAATAAAATAAAGTAATAATGTATATGTTAAATGAAACATGGATGTCTTAAAACGAGAAATGCAATCTCTTTATTGAATAAAAAGTAATCCTGGTGCCGCTGTTGAGTAAGCATCAGGCTGCAACTGCAAGCCAGTGGTTCACCTCGTAGCTGCTCTTTGGGAGAAAGAGGATGCTTTCTTTTCCCGTACCGATTTACAGCCGCAAAAACCCTACACAGGTCTGCTGTGAGTCCGGAATTGACTTGATGGCAGTGAGTTTTATAGAATAAAACACCTATGATAACATCAACACGTCTGTGTTCTTTACGAGGGCACCGCTAAAGAAGGAACTTCATCAGAGGGTCTTAATTCTCTTGTCTTGAATTCTGTGAACATGTCCAAGCCAGCAAGTAGAGTGGATACTTTTTTAAGGGCGGTTATGATTGAGCCGTGGCCGTTGAGCTGATCTGACATACGGCAACCCTGTGTGTGCCAGTGCCACACTGTGTTCATAGTTTTCACTAGCCGATTATTCAGAAGGAGGTCACCAGGCCTTTCTTCTGAACTGCCGTGGGGTGGAGTTCACCTCTCAACCTTTCTATTAGCGGCCCAATACATTAGCCCTGCTATCATCCAGGGATTCTAATGATGACTTGTCATGATTTATGCAGTTGGGTCCAGTGCTCAATGCTAGCTAAAAAGTGAGCAGTTGGAGCCCACCTAGAGACCTGTGTGGCACTCTGCATCTCAAGTCACACACAAGGAGTCGTTCTACTGCACACACAAGGCCACCGTGGAGTGAACTGGACTCTACGGCAACGAACAGCAGCAGCAGCAAACAAGCGCCTTGCTTATAGTTTGTACTCCATTCACTATTTGTTTACGTACTGCATGAAGCGCCAACAGAAAATATGCATGGAGCGTAAACTGTGTTGCTTAAAAGATTCAGTCCAAATTATTCTAATTAGAAGTGGCTTTCAAGTTTCTATGTTGGGTTTATTTGGAGGATGTGGTGTCATATTAATGAGCCAAACCAAAACAAAGTCACTGTCATTGAGTTTATTCTGACTCACAGCGACCATACAGGGCAGGGGAGAACCGCTTCTCGGAGCTTCCACGACTCCATCTTCGCAGTGGAGATGGCCTCATCCCCACTGTGGACCTGCTGGTGGTTCTGAATTGTTGCTCATGTGGGTGAGCGGCCCGATGCTTAACCCATGGTGCCATCACAGCAACCGCAACAACAACAACAGCAAAAAATACCTCCATCAAAAGCACCCACTGAATCTTAGTTTCTCTCTTCTACAATTTTATGACTGAACACAAATTGGAGTTATGAAATTTTCTTCTCTTGAAATCATGAAAGTCCCAATTTGTGCTTTTAAAATTTGTTTCTAAGTGTTAAAACTTACCACACAACACAAAACCATATAATTTCAAGACATAAAATTGAGAAACTGAGAATTACCGTTATCGGTTATCTACAGTAAAACACTGAGAAAGGCCTTTGAGAGGTGGGATGTAAAAGCACACTCAGTTAAGCTGCTAAAACCAAAATGATGGGGCCCTGGCTTCTCAGACAGGCCAGGCATTGGAGAAGAAAGAGGAAAATGGGTCCTACACTGCCAGCTTTCTCCTTGCTCCCCTCAAGCCTATGGAGGTCATCTGGCAGCCTCAGTACTCCAACCTCCTACCTGAGAAAGCTCTTCTCAGAAACACCCTTGAAGATGACATCTCTAGACGTCCTTCATGTATCTCCCACAAGAGCTACAGATGGACATGCCGTTCCATGACCAAAGTAACCAAACTGCATTTCACCTGACTTTACTTCATGATTGCAATGTGCTTGATAATATTCACACACACACCTGATACTTCTTTCTATATGAAGAGCTACTTCAAGGGTGGAAGGAGCTATTTCAGATTCTCCAAGGTCTTCTTTATCAATACAGTTACAGCAATTTGTCAGAAGACTTTATATATGAGGTTGGGGATAGTTACAAATGACTGAAATCTATAAAACCCAAGCTTGAATCTCTGTCACAGAAGACACATAAAGATGGCTGATGGAGAGGTCCTTGCAATGATTTTAATCCTGGCCTCAGCACTTGTGCAATTACTGATATCCTCTCGCAGATCTTCTATTCCCCTTATCCCATAGTGAAGTCTACACTGGTAAACAGCTTAAAAAGAGAGTGGATCTAGAAAATATACTGGGCTATTCAATTTTGTCCGAGGCCAGTCAATTCCACACAGGATGAAGGCATCCTATGTTTAAATTCTACCTCCTTTTCCACTATCAACCCCATTTCCTGTGTGTCAAGGGTGTTTAAGAAACTAGGTGACTTCGGTGCCTAAGGTGGGAAAGAGGAAGGGAAATGACCCTGGATGACAACTCCCAACAAGGCTTCCACTTCCTTGTTGTCTCCCTATCACTTCGCTGATACCCGCCTAAGATGTATGTCTGGAGATGGGTTTTAAAAATATTTTGTGCTTAGATTAATTGATCACACCACATTTTCTTAATTCGGTATTGCAGAAAGACTTGTTTTATTGTCTAAGATAATTATTAGGATTTAGGACTTCATTTGATTGACTTTCATTACATGCTTACCCTTGATTAAAAACTTCTCCTGTATTCTCAAACTACTTCACTTTTATCTAATTGGCAAGGGAATTGGTATGTGCAAATGAAAATAATTAACATTTCTGAAAGCCTAATTTGTCTGATCACAAGTTAACAAAGCATTTTTTAGAAATCATTTTATTGGGGGCTCTTACAGCTCTTGTTACAATCAATTGCTTTGTCAGAAATCAATTTGTTACATCAATTGATTCTGACAAATTAGTACATATATTCCATCATTCTTTTCTAGACATTTACTCTCCATTGAGCCCTGGGGATCAGCTCCTCTTTTATTCTCTCTCTCCTCAAGCCCCTCCCCCCAACCCTCATGGCCCCTTGATAGATTGTAGATTGTTAATTATTTTTAAATCTCACATTCTAATTTACGGAATATAAGGAAACTTAAGACGTACGAGTTCTTTACCTGTTGTACAAATTTCTGATCAATGAATCGCTTCGCAATGCTAGGCTGGAAGTCAGGGCTCTCCAAGAATCTCAAGAAGAATTCATACACCAACTGTGAGAGAAAGAGTCCAGTTAAAAAGAAGGTCATGCCTATAATATTCTACACTAAGGGGTCACTTCATACAGAAACTCATCTCCCACCGTTTAAAACACACAGTAATACGATTTGAAGAGGCTATTATAAAATGTGATCAGCTGGTTACATTTTAAAAAATATAATAAAAAATAAATACATGTATAATCATAATTCCATCTCCCAAGCTGGCAGACTTTTGAATTTCTTACTTGGCACCACCTGTGGAAAGATGTTAGACTATAGGGATTAGAAAATAAAGATGATGCCTATAGCATTCGAGGGGGATTCACAACAATGTGGTAAAATTCCACTGTGAATATATCTTCTGATTCCATTTTTCCAAGAACGTTTTGCAGGCCCTGGTATTCAACAAGAAGACTACATACAATGCAGCCCCACTGACCAAGAGCGGGCAGTGAGATACTAGCCTACGTGCATTAAATCCAGAGTCTGAAACCCCTAGATAAGAGTAAATTAGGATGTGAGGAGCCGTGTACCAATAACAATAAATTTTGGAGTATTAAAAATTCAAATTTAAAAATTTTTTTTCAAATATTTCTGTAAAACAAAAGATGAAAATAAATAAAAACCAGCCCGCCCTATACACACTTGGGAAAGAATGAGCCTAATTTTATGAATAAGGGGCTTGGGCAGGAAGGGCTGTGCTCCACAACAAATACACCTGAAGACACAGCCGATCTGCTCCTAAAGAAGTGCCAAGAGTACTAAAAACAATAGCAAATGTTCATCTGCTACCACAAATCAGATTTAAAAGTGGTGTTTGGTTTGACTTGGAACACACCCATATCTTTCAAGGAGAAAGGCAAAGTAAATTTTTTTTACTGTACTACAGTAACTCTTTAAAAGCACCATTTATTTTAGCCTCAAATACACTTTTATTAGTTATTAAATAACACATAAATTAGCTTCCCTAAAAATTAAAAAGGAGGATTAGATAACAAAGGAAGAAGCATTTTCGTGAACAATTAGGTAGCCACTTGTACTAGATACAGCAGAAAAAGGTATACAGGAATGTATGTAAAAATTACAACACAATGAATGAATGGATTGTTGTAAGAGCCCCCAATAACATGACTAAAACAGACAAACAAAATACATACATACAATGATTGCCACACTAAACCACAGACCCCACAGCATACAGCACTGCCAAATTTGGCCTCCACCATTCACCACAAATAGCATCTTTTTTTTTTAGCCAAAAGGTTCAATAATATCCTAAGACTAACAATGATTTGGGGATCTGAGTAAATAGTTTACTTTGTTTTATCTTTGCCCATCCATACAAAAGAAGCAATTCATAACTGGTCTGAGATCACCTAACTTTTTATGCTTACTATAATTTAAGATACTAGACTCCCACAGTCATCAAAAAGAAGTGCCCAATTGGATTTTCATTCAGACAATTTCTCAATCAACCAACAATATAAATAGCTTTGCTTTGGGGAAACATGTGAAAAAGCAATTTTGTTTTTAAAAAAGGATCACAGCCTGCTCAGAAATGTTAGCACAGCCCCGTGGCTGCAATGCTTTACTGACAGCACAACTGACTCCATGCCTGTTTCCATGTCTGATGTCAGGCTATGTGTGGTGTGAGCAGACACATGGCATGGTACAGCCCCAGAGGCTCATCCTCTAGTTAAAAAGTAAGACAAAACCAACACTATACATAAACTGGTATATATGCTCTTGGAGCTGCAGAGGAAGAGGGAAGTCAAGAAGCCCAGGGTAGAACTGGAATGCATGTGTAATTACCTCTGTGGAACAGCTGCCTCTTTTGTCAGGAGAGCAAAACGAGATGGTGCCTGGCTACCACTACTGAACTGTCTCTTTCAAAGGGGGAAAAAGGCAATATGGAACAAAATGTCCAATTCTCATGGAATCCAGACCTTCTGGAGTCAGTAAAATGGATGGCCCTTCAAATTAATTGCCCTGGAGTGATTTCTATCCCTTGAAGACATCTTTAGGCCAAATATAGTTTAGCTTACTTAATTAGTAAAAATGTTTGCCTTCAACATTGCACTTAAAAAAAATCACCTATATGCAATCAAATTGACTGGGGCAACTATAACTTTATAACCACCACCACCACCCTACCCCCAAGCTTCTTACCTAACCTTTCACCAAAATACTATAACAAAGAAGCTTAAGGGCAGTGAGTTAATGTTAATGGTTAAAGGTTAATGTTAGTGGAGGAATAGTTTGGGGATATAGGAAACAGAAGAGAAGGACTGAACAACTTAAAGGTAATCAATGTTATCGAAATATATGTGCAGGTAAAAAGTGTTGTGTACATTTTCACCACACAAAACAATAAAGTAAAAAATTAATGGTATATGTGCAAAAATTATGTGTCAAAGACTATGAGAACTGTAGACACTTGGAAAGGGTTTTGGACTCCCTAGAAGGAAAGAGAAGGGCTTTTAAAGAAAGAAGAAGGCATGGTGCAGGATACACGCTGGTGGGTAAGGAATAATGGATTCAGCATTGTGCTAGTCTGGGTACTTTAGAGAAACAAATCCACAGAAACTCATGTATAAGAGGAGAGTTTTATATAAAGGGTTAAGTGCACATCAAGAAAACATCCCAACCCAGTACTGCCCAAGTCCACAAGTCCAACATTAACCCATTAATCCATATGTCCAACACCAATCCACAAAGTCCTCCTCCATCTCACAAAACAGATGCAATGATGCCCACTGTAGGAGGAAAGCTGAATCAGTGAGCGTGTAAGCATCAGCGCTGGCAGGGGTCTCCACACGGGTGCTCCAGCACCCAGGGCTGCATGTGGTTTCTCCTCAGGGATGTCTTGCAGGAAGTCAGCCTTGCAAGCTGAAGCAGGGAACTTGTAAGGCAGCTGCGCCCTGGTGTAACCATCACAAAGCAAGAGACCCGAGAACTCGAAAGGTGAGGCTCACTGAGCCATTTATGCCTCCGCCCTTCACTTAACCCCACGTGTTTATTGACCAGGTTGGCACAATAAACTAACTACCTCAAACATCTTTATACAGATCTCTCATTCAATGAAATTTATGATTCACTGGTACTGGGGACCAATTTAAACGAGTCAACTATATCATGCATTACCCTATATATTCCATCTTAAAATCTGCATCAGACATACAGGGATCAATGTATGGGAGATTAATATGACTTCTGGGAGAGTTATATAACAGTCCTGGAAATCACAGGGGCAGTTCTACTCTGTCCTTTCTCGATGGCAGTTTTGAGTGTGGCTTTTAGATTAATGCCTGACATACAATAGATTGAGCATAAAAACTTACTAATGAAAATTAAAGTGGTTGACAGATTCTCTGTATGGCCATTGCATTTTAAAGGTTTTGTGTGAAGAAATAATTTGGCCAAAGCATGTAAGAATCAGTGCTGAAAAGGAAACACATTTTCAGTAAAGGGATTCAGCTCACTAATGAAGTGGGCTAACTCCACAGGTGTTCAATGTATGGCTGGGCTCTCCTACTTTTGCTCCCCAAGAAAGATCCTAAATGACTGCAGGGGCAGTAAACTATTTAATGTGGTTCTTCCAGCCAAGAGCTCTTAGATACTGGTAGGAGTCACCTGTGAGTACTTTCTAACAGGAGTCCCTGGAGTGGCATTCGGCTGTATATAAAATGAGCCCTCTGAGAACCGAGAAGGAAACTCATTCCCAGCAAGAGCCAGGAGTAGAGCATGTCCTCTGGCACCCAGATCCCTGTGCGGTGAAATTCCTGGATCCAGGTGACAGTTTTACCAGCAGAGGAGCAGCAGAACCAGGAGCCAGAGCATGGAAGAGAGTGGACTTCCCAACCTACGTAACAAGTAAAGTGTTTGTATGCTGGCGATTTGTGCAGTCGGGTGCCTCTGGCCACTTAATTGGGGAAATTGAACTTGCTGACCCACAGAGGTAAAGCGGAGTACTTTCAAGGCTGAGGTTTACTGGAGTGAGGTGCCTCTGAGCACTTAGTTCAGGGAGCCAGGTTTGCTGGCCCACAGTGTTTAAGCTGAATGCCTCCGGTTGAGATTTATAACATGGTGGTTGAGATTTCTAACACAGTGGTATGCCCTTTGGGCATATGTTAGTAAACTTGTAACTTGTCCTGAGAAACAACTCAACCATGAGCATTTCTCACTGACATTACATCTTAACTTCCTTAATAAACCCTTTAATCAGGAATTTTGTCTGTGAGTTCTATATGGCCATTGCAATGGATATTAGAAACTACAGATAAAGTAAAGAATATTAAAATAATACAATGATTAAAGGTAAATTTAGCAGAGAACAGCATGGATGATTAAAGTACTGGAAAAAACAAGACTGATACAAAAAGCTAAGGAAATAATTCATATGATGATGATAAGAGTTGTATGAGCTCCCCGTGAAATTTTTTTTAAAAAGTCCTATGACAATGAACAAATACTGGACTAAAATCCAAACCATGAGCTTTGTGTGTGTGTGTGTGTGTGTGTATATTTTTAATCATTTTATTGGAGGCTCGTACAACTCTTATCACAATCCATACATATATAAATTGTGTCAAGCACATTTGTATATCTGTTGCCATCATCATTCTGAAAACATCTGCTTTCTACTTGAGCCCTTGATATCAGTTCATTTTCCCCCTCCCTTTCCGCTCCCCACCCTCCCTCATGAACCCATGATAATTTATAAATTATTGTTATTTTGTCATATCTTACACTGGCCGACATCTCCCTTCACCCCTTTTCTGTCGTCCATCCCCCAGAGAGGAGGTTATATGTAGATCCTTGTAATCAGTTCCCCCTTTCTACGCCACCTTCCCTCCACCCTCCTGGTATCACCACTCACACCACTGGTCCTGAATTTCCTGTGTTTCCAATTCCTACCTGTACCAGTGTACATCCTCTGGTCTTGCCAGATTTGTAAGGTAGCATTGGAATCATGATGGGGGGCGGGAGAGAGGAAGCATTTAAGAACTAGA